CCGTGTTTCGTGAAATCGGTAAAAAGATCAACGTGCAAGACATTTTTAATTGTTCGTTCATCGTGAAATGGCAATGTTATTTCGCGTTCTTCCGTGCAGGAACGCCCCCTTTTACGTCCCTCTGAAAAAGCTTTCATTATTTAATAATAATAAAAAAGTGCAATCACCATTATCTTATGATTGATTTAAAATGGCCATTAATTCTCGCTCATTGATAATCCAAGTTTAATTAACCACTTGACCATGCACCAATACCCTGAAATTTCATATTACTATACAAATCCTATGGTACAGCGTTGACACGTTTATTAGTTGGCACATCCAAGATATTACCTTCACAGCATTTTTCTAGATATGTTTATATCTATGACCCACTCTTTGAGACCTAGCCTAAGTATGACGAAAGTGCTATATATAACGAAAACAGCGGAGAAATGGATTAAATAGACTTGCTATATTGTACAAACTAAAGAAGGTCGGAGTTGAACTAAACCCGAAAAATTCAGTCTCTCCCCGTAATCGATTTCTCCTATATACTTGTTAATGAAGTAATCGCAGATCAGCGGAATATGACGACTGAATTATTAGGGTAGGTGCAAATAAAAGTCTGAATTAACCAAATATGTAGTTTCATAAGGAGGGACCTGGACAACCTGCCCCCATCCCACCCCTCTAAATCAGCCCCCGAGTTGTCATACGTATTGACCGTTCTTGGCGCACACACGTTTTCATTGCCTTTGTGTATTTTTGTATAAATAAAAAAAATGATTATAGTACTTAATTCAATCCATTTTCTTGAGACATATTACACGTACACGAATCATAAATTTTCTACGTTTTTATAATTTTGAACACAGCGTATGTCCTGGGACCTGACCTGAAATATACATGAAACATAGAAAATTCATGATAGTAACGCGTATAGGAGCAACATTTAAATTCAAGGGGTTAGGGGGTTTGGTCTGAGTCAGAAATCATTTGGAACACAACGTTATTCCCCACTGTTACCAAGCAATTTTTTTCTCAAAATAAACGGTATGGGGAAATCTGGAATTCAGAATATTTTTTTGTCATCTGCCTGACCAAAATATTTTTTTCTCTCATCAAATTGGGGATCAGAATATGATTTTATGAGGGGAAAAAGCAGTCACCCACCCCTTTGAAGTTAAATGGTTGTCTTAAGAATTAATTAAATTGATATAGGTATGGTGTTTCAGGGGGGCTATCAGGGATTTGGAGTACTTGTATTCGGGATTATTCAGTTTATAATCTGAATATAAAATAAGTGGTACAAATATATAATTACATTAGATGTATGTTTCATTATAATACGTTATTCTTAGTGGCTAACTGAAATCTCGCGTTATTCCTTAATCAACTTCATTACACAATGAAATTTATCATTCATGATGACACGAGATCCAACAGTAAAGTGCACAGGCAAATTAAATAAAAAAATGATAAAAATCGTGTTTTCATGATCCTAGCTAATTAACAATGTAATTATAGGTATTGGATGCTTCTTTTTGTAACTTCATAGGGGTGTAAAAGCATTGACCGTGCGCACATTTTTAGAATGAAGCGCTTCCGCGCTTCATACAAAAGGTACTTCGGCCAACGCTTTTACACCCAAATGAAGTTACAAAAAGAAGCATTCAATTCTTAAATAAAAAAAAAAACATTTGGAAATCAACTTGACAAGATATCAGAAAACGGGAGCGATGAGAGATCGATTTTAAATTACATTGAAGTTATCCTCGACATACAAAAAATAACTAAATAAGTTGTCTAATTTGTTGACAAATATAAATATTCGTGGTAAAAAAAAGACAAAACATTGCGTATGAGGGTCTACATGGAGTTAACAGAATAGACAATTCGGGCAAATCTGATGAAAAAAAAAACGAAAATTCGTAGTTATAGGAAATTAACCCAACGAACAGCAATTGAAATCTCCTCCCCATCAAATTGTACCTCACGACCTGTATAATGCTGGAAGTGGTTTAATATGCTTTTGGAACACCCTTTAAAAATATGAGTAGGGTTCTGCAGGCCACGGCTTAGGTAGCACTTCACAGTTAGAAAATAAAATTAAAATTGAGCCACAGAATGTTTAATAATCTTCCGATCCTGGCCTTCTAATACATTAGGCCAACTGCAGCGCTTGTGTCATACATGCGAAACTACACACCTATCTATGGAGTGCTACCTTACTCGAATGCTCCCGATACAGTTATGCTGATGAAGATATAATGAAACTAATAGAACCGGGAGTTTTTAACGACCTTGACTGGCTATACATATATATGGAAGTTTTTAACGACCTTGACTGGCTATACATTGCTCGGTCGGCTATATAGGGGGAATGGCACGGTGCCCACCCCCTTTTTGTTGGAAAATAAATGTTGATTATATAGGGAATCACTTAAGAATGATTAGCAGTTAGTGCCCCCTCCCCTTATATAAAAAAATCTGGATCCGCCACCGAGAACAAGTTAAACTAATACAAATAATGCCGAAAATGGAACATCTCAAGTATATAAGGTAATCACACTCCCACTCCCGAAACAAAAAAAACCGTCATGTTATTGCAATCTAATAACAGTTATTTAATTCGCTATATTATTGTTTTCATTAGTTTACAAGTTGTGACCTTCGAAATTGTTTTATTTAATTTTCCTATAGACTTTTATGGTAACCCCCTTTGCCCCTAAAAAACAAATAAAATAAAGTTTCCCTCCCACAAGATTCAAAACTTAAACGTTGATTTGAAAAAAAAACTTGATTTTAGATTTTCGGTTATAAATTGAAATGAACCTTCTAGAGCCTCAACTTTAACGCGCACAATAATGTCAATCATTACACATCAAATTTAACCCTAAATTGACATTCCACAATCGGTCAGTAACATCACCTGTGTTTATAGTTACATGATATTTCCCGCCGTTGGAAAATCTCGTGCAGTCGACACAATTGATCTGAGTTATTTTTAACATTCTCTTTTGTGAGCGAAGTCAAGTTTAAGATCAAGTTGATTACAGATATTTTTGGCGTGCATTATTTCATTATTTAAAATGTTCGGTCTACATTCGTTACAGTCTAATTTTTAATTAAAAGAAACGTAACATCATTTCTTTTTTTTTTGTTGGCAATTATAGTAAATTAATCTCATCCCGGAATGTATATAATATACACTTTAACATTACACCTGAAAGTGCTTTATAATAAACGAAGAAACTGTCTAACAATTAAAATTTAAAAGAATATTATCTCTCAGGCTTATTTTAAGATGAGTGATTGTTGGTTGCTTAACTTCCAGTGGCAAATATTCCATGCATGTCAGGACGAACTTAGTTTTAAGATCGCACTCTCAAAAATAATTGAAAAACAATAATGATCAGAAAAACTTTTATTCATGTAAAATAACCCTCCAATCTTTTAATTAGAACTTATTTATTTTTCACAATGTAACAGATTAGTTAACAAGACGTGCATTGAGGTATACATGTACGCAACTTTCATATCTTTTAAATGGAACTTTTTTGTCTAAAAGACAACCTACGAGTTAGCGAAATCGAGTTTGAAAGGACTGCATTGTGCGTAAATACATATACATATTATGAAACGACGGTCGGTGTATTACCAACATACTGCTATACCAGTTGACCCCTGATATCAACTAAGGTTAAAACTTTCCCCTGTCCGTCAGAAATGTAAAGCTTCAATTCAATGTTGACACCTGTATCAAATAAACAGATGGTTCATTGTATTTAGTTCCAATAAACGGTTCTTTTTGTATAACCACAGTTGAATAGTAATTCAATAAAACAAATGACGGATGAACTAATTAATTATGAATATGAAATAATGTCCAAATGTTCCTATATACTAGTATACCCATTCGGACTACAATTCGCAACTTGTTATTATCTCATCGAATCATGTTGTTTTGTTTATATATGCCTTCAACCCTAGGAGTATAAATGTGCATTTCATTAATAAAGATTAATGGATCACACAGGTAAATCAGATCGTAGTAAAAATTCATATTTGCCAATGAAATTTAAATGATCTCTGGCCTCGGACATATACATATATTTTTCTATTAAACAAGTCTCAAATCAGTATGTGACATCTTGCCGGATTACGGCATCTACAGTAATAAGACTATTAGTACAGGAACTGATTTCTTTTCTAAACATGACAATAAAGAAGAATTTTATAAGGTGAGAATATTTGTAGTTGTGTATTTCAAAGTTACCGCGTGTATTCATCCTGTTCATCGGTCACATTAAAATAGATTTTTCTTTATTGAAAAATAACCAAATTCGATATTTAAATATTAAGTAACTTTATTATCTCGACTGAAAAGGGTAATAAGACAGTTTTTTTTTATCTGACTGTAAACATTGTATATATCACAACGAGCTATTAATAACCGTCGCTCACGCACCAATAGTTCTATTGACGACTCAATACACACCAGTTTTATCGGACCAACGGCTAATTCCCGTCGACACTGTATAATGGATTATGTAAACATCTATATACAACGATCTATTAATAACCGTCGCTCACGCATCACTGGTTCTATCAATGACTCAATACACACCAGTTTTATCGGACAAACGGCAAATTCCCGCCGACACGGTAAATCTCCGGATGACATGCATAATTTTCTGTGACACAGCAAATTTACGATGAACCTCTAATTATTTTCCGTTCCGCGCAGATTATCCAAAAATCGCGGTCATTTGCCAAATAGGTCTACCAGTGTCATAAACAAGCTTCTGTCCAAGTTTGGTAGAAATCCAGGATAGTTTAAGAAAGTTATTAAAATTTCAAAAACTTTTACCACAGAGTGAATATTTGTGGACGCCGCCGCCGACGACGGAATGTAGGATCGCTATGTCTCACTTTTTCGACAAAAGTCGAAGGCTCGACAATAAATGAATCCACAGTACTGTAACATCTCTATTTAAAAATATGAATAAACTAACCACTCTCATCATTAAATGATGTGTAACTAATCAGAGTCTGTACATTTATATCTCCGACACCATTCAACAACAATCGTAAATCTTCTGAAGTCAGTCCTTCTAAGTTAGCAGCAGGTATAACATCAAAAACACCCTGTTGTAAACTCTGAAAAAAATTATTTACATATATATTTCATCACTGTTTATATAAGTAAAAATCGTGCTTATTCTTTTTTTAAAGTTTTATGTTTAGAAATGAAGATTAATAGGTCTGGAGAAGCAGTTATCTCCTTTGATATTTTCCTTGTAGTGTGGTCAGTGTATAACTTGCAAATTTATATGTTTATACACCTTCAAATTTTTTTTCTTTGTATTTTTTGCATATTGTGACTCCTACATGATTCAATTATACATGATTTTTGAAAAGGGGGGCACAATTCCAGAAAACAGAATATATACAAGCAGAGCACAGCAAACAAAATTTTGGTCCATTTCATGCTAAAATAAAATGCTTCGCTGGGGCGCAGCTTGATACGACCGCAGAGGTCGAACCCTGAACAGTTGGGGCAAGTATGGACACAACATTCAAGCTTGATACAGCTCTGAATTTGGATTGTTATTAAATATTTGACACAGCATAGGTTTCTGACACAGAAAGAATGTGGTCTTAGAACTTGAATTTTTTTTAATTTACCTATTATGGTCCAATGTCCAAAATCAAAATACATGGTTAGATTCAGCATATCAAAGAACCCCATATATTCAATTTTTGTTAAAATCAAACAAAGTTTAATTTTGGACCCCAACTTGGACAAACTTGAAAACTGGGCCCATAATCAAAAATCTAAACACATGTTTAGATTCAGCATATCAAAGAACCCCAAGAATTCAATTTTTGCTAAAATCAAACTAAGTTTAATTTTGGACCCTTTGGACCTTAATGTAGACCAATTTAAAAAACGGGACTTAAAATTAAAAATCTAAATACACGGTTAGATTTGGAATATCAAAGAACCCCAATAATTCAATTTTTGATGAAATCAAACAAAGTTTAATTTTGGACCCTTTTGACCTCAATATGAACCAATTTGATAGCGGGGCCCACAAATAAAAAATCTAAATTCATGGTTAGATTCAGCATATCAAAGAACCCCATATATTAAATTTTTGTTGAAATCAAACAAAGTTTAATTTTGGACCCCAACTTGGACCAACTTGAAAACTGGGCCCATAATCAAAAATCTAAACACATGTTTAGATTCAGCATATCAAAGAACCCCAAGAATTCAATTTTTGTTAAAATCAAACTAAGTTTAATTTTGGACCCTTTGGACCTCAATGAAGACCAATTTAAAAAACGGGACCCAAATTAAAAATCTAAAAATACGGTTAGATTTGACATATCAAAGAACCCCAATAATTCAATTTTCGATGAAATCAAACAAAGTTTAATTTTGGACCCTTTTGACCTCAATATGAACCAATTTGATAGCGGGGCCTACAAATAAAAAATCTAAATACATGGTTAGATTCAGCATATCAAAGAACCTCATATATTCAATTTTTGTTGAAATCAAACAAAGTTTAATTTTGGACCCCAATTTGGACCAACTTGAAAACTGGGCCCATAATCAAAAATCTAAATACATGTTTAGATTCAGCATATCAAAGAACCCCATATATTCAATTTTTGTTGAAATCAAACAAAGTTTGAATACTGGACCCTATCTTGGACCAACTTGAAAACTGGGCCCATAATCAAAAATCTAAACACATGTTTAGATTCAGCAAATCAAAAAACCCCAAGAATTCAATTTTTGTCAAAATCAAACTAAGTTTAATTTTGGACCCTTTGGACCTCAATGTAGACCAATTTAAAAAACAGGACCCAAAATTAAAAACCTAAATACACGGTTAGATTTGGAATATCAAAGAACCCCAATAATTCAATTTTAGATGAAATCAAACAAAGTTTAATTTTGGACCCTTTTGACCTCAATATGAACCAATTAGATAACGGGGTCCACAAATAAAAAATCTAAATACATGGTTAGATTCAGCAAATCAAAGAACCCCATATATTCAATTTTTGTTGAAATCAAACAAAGTTTAATTTTGGACCCCAATTTGGACCAACTTGAAAACTGGTCCAAAAATCAAAAATCTAAATACATGTTTAGATTCAGCATATCAAAGAACCTCATATATTCAATTTTTGCTAAAATCAAACAAAGTTTAATTTTGGACCCTTTGGACATTAATGTAGACCAATTTGAAAACTGGACCCAAAATTAAAAATCTAAATACACTGTTAGATTCGGCATAACAAATAAATAAATGTGATCAAAGATTTTACAAATCTAATGCGCCATACTGTGCAATTAAAGATTACTTCTTGAAATTTTTCAATATTTGAAATTTGAAAAAAAAATAATATTTGAAGAATAATTCTTTTTAATTTCTGAAATCTGAAATGAGAAAAAATTGGCCCCCCACAATTTCTTTTTATCCCCCCCCCCCCTTTTTCCCCAAAAAAAATTCTTTCCCTCAAGATATGGTCATAATCTCAATTCAAATTTCCAATGGAGTTGGCAACCATAATTACCCATTTAAATTTACCATAGTGCTAACTTAATCTATTTTATAATAGAATTAATAAAAATATAGTGTCAAATCTTTCATATGGATTTTTTTGTAAAAAAAAAAGATGAAAACATTTGCAGATATTTTTACTGGTCTTCCTTTATAAATATGCATTTCTTTAAACATAATTTAAAAGCAGTGTAAGGGAAGTAACCAAAACGTTGTATTTGGATTACCTCCCTTACACTGTTTTAGATTATCTTTATTGTTCATTAACCATTACTTTATACATAATTTAAAAGCAGTGTAAGGGAGATAATTTCAATGATGTATTTGATTTATCTCCCTTACACTGCTTTAAATTATGTTTTGTACTAAAGTATTTGTCCATTAACCAGGACAACCTTGTTTTTCCCCCTTTTTTGCCCCTAATTCCTAAACGGTTTGAGCCATAACCCCCCAAAGCAAATCCTAACCATCCCTTTGTGGTATGGAAACTTGTAGTATAATTTCAGAGAGATCCATACACCTTTCCACAGTTATTGTCTGGAAACTAGAAAATGCTCATTTTTGGCCCCTTTTTGGCCCCTAATTCCTTAACTGTTGGTACCATAACCCCCAAAATCAATCCCAACCTTCCTTTTGTGGTATTTAACCTTATGGTCAAATTTCAAAAAGATCCATTCACTTAAACTAAAGTTAGAGTGCGAAAACCAATATGTATTCGGACGACGACGCCGGACGACGACGACGACGCCGGACGACGACGACGACGACGACGACGACGACGCCAACATCATACCAATAAACGACCACAAAATTTTTTTGCGGTCGTATAAAAATGATATATTTCCCAATCACAGAAGGTGGGGGGGGGGACAAAAACCTCCAAGACCCCCTTAATCTGACACTTTTTGCTGATATTTATTAGTATGCACAAACATAATAGCCGGTGAACACACTTATTTTTATGTGCACTTCATTAGAACACAGTTATACAGACACACTGATATTTAGTGTTTTCAGATGACAGTGCACCTTGAAAGTCTTACCCTATTCTCTCATGGCTGACTGCCACATTTTCAAAATTCAGGCTGACAGTAATAACAACTAAAACAAACTATTATCTAATGGACTGACATGTCATGTAAGCAAAACTAATAAATTCATTGGAAATCTTGGAAATTTGTCAGATAGGAACTTCTTACAACAGCAATCATTTCTTGTCAAAATCTTGTATTTATGGGGGTCTGGTTGGGGTTTACAAAATAAAGAAGTATAGTTCAAAAGAATAAAAAATAGAGAAAAATTGAGTAAAATAACAATGAATAATGGGCAAAAAAAAACCATAGAAAGAGAAAATGGCAAAAAAAAAGAAAAGAAATGAAGACCCCCCCCTTTTGCAGACCCTTGTATATCTCTAATAAGCTTAACTTGGTTTGCACATACCTTTAGAGCTTTCTCTGCAACTTTCACCATCCTAAGTTCAGCATATCTTCTAACATAGTCATGCACATTCTGAGCATTGACCTCAATATCAGCACCACCGGGAATTAATTCTACTGACTCGCCACCCTATTATCAACAAAATACACAATTATTCTTGGTCTTTCTCATACATGTGATTTAAACTCCATCAACATTTTTAGGAAAAAAACTATGTGAAGGTATGAAAGTAATATGGAAAAGGTAAAGCTGAAACTCCTACATGAAAACCATATACTACGTAGCAGACGTAACTTTTTATCTGTCTTTTTTCTTTCTATAGGGAGAAAACTTTGATTTAGATAATGTCACAAAAGAATGAAAATTTTTCACTAAAACCTTAAATTTTGTGCAACCTGGTCAAAAATTATTTTATTCAAAATGTTTCTTTTCACAACTTAAATGTTTTGTATTGAGTAAGGAATTTGGTGCTGTTAACAAAGGAGTAGGTTCGATAAGGCCCTAAAATGGCCCCTTATTCTAGCTGAAAATTGAAATTAGGATTTATTGACCAATGTCACAAGGAATCATAGGTAATATAATGACTAGATTGAAAAAACACCATTTTGTTGAAAATTTATGTTTTTGCGTTCTATTCATGACGTCACAAATAGCACTCATTTTGATTTTCCGTGAAAATTCAATGAAAATGGGCAAATTTACGTTGATTTTTTGGAGAGGAAACATAGAGCGCATGCGTCGACAACAAAGATATTTAAGCCTAATGTTTGTTATGACATTTTACATATCTGACTTGAATATTTTGTTTGTCGACGTCTGTGCTCTATGTTTCCTAGGTCTTAATTTGGTTGAAATCCGGACAATTTTGTCCAATTTCGCAAAAATCTCTATTTTTAACCTATTTGGGATGTCAAAATCAATGTTTAAAAATAAAACTTTGGCAAAAATATTTCTATATAACTTTCTCACATGTCTTTTCATCAACTTAAAACACATGTTATACTGAAACATTGAACTTAATAATCAGGGCCAAATTAGACCCTTACCGAACTTACTCCTTTTTCGGTAGTCTGTTAACTTATTGTGACTTATTGTGATTAGAGTTTTACATGTTGTATGGATACTTATTTCTTTGTTGAAGACCATATGCATATGTCTACCACTAAATGAATTTTTAAGTATTGTTTGGTGACTGTCTTGTTTACATATACCTACATCTCCACTTATTTCTTAAAGTGAAACAAATCTTCTTTCTCATGTGTGGCTTATCATGAAAATAAAATTCTGTGCAGTCTTCATTAACATATAATTATCCTACCAATTCCAGATTCATTTCCACATAGAAATTCATACAGAGGGCAGTGGAAAATCAAATTTTTGCAGTCCTTATTAACATATAAACATCTTACCAATTCTGGGTTCATTTCCACACAGAAATTCATATCCAGGGCAGTGAATAACAAACTGGCATCCTTTTTCTCAGAGTCTAGCACCAATTGTCGTAAACTTTCATACATAACAGAATCAAAGAATGCTAGGTCATGCCAGCCAATCTTACGTCCAAGGATGTACTTCAGTACGTGACGATTTAAGAATAGCGGACACATTTCATTTTGTAACAAACATAAACCAATTATTCTGAAATTAAATTCATCAACATTAAAATATTAAAAATATGTCCTATCAGATTTCATTGGCATTATTACAATACTTTAGGGAAGTGCTTTCCATAGAATATATTCATCATCTATTCAATAACATCATATAAAACTGGTAAAGCAACAGTATGTGCGATGATTTGCAGTTTCAAAGAAAATTTAACAGAAATGTGTAAGGTACAGAGGTAAACCAGTATACCTCCACCTTTGAAGCAGGGATATAATAAATGTTCTCAATAAAAAAATTTGGTGAAACATATCAGATGTTATATTTTACATTCTATTGAAGAATATTTTAATGTTTAATACTTGAGAGGTCTAGTTACTTGAATAAAAAATTTGTAAGGGTTCCGTGGAACCTAGTGTCTCGCCTACTTTTGCTGTTAATCGCAGGCTCAACAAAAATGAGGAAAAAAATTAATAAAAATATCCCTCTCTATACTATCTTTTGATTGTAAGTAGCTTCTGTTAAAGTTTTGTAAAAATCCAGGATAGTTTATGAATCTAATAAATGTTTTAAAAACTTAAACTGCAGACTGTATGTAATGTTAACTGGAAGAAAAACTAAGTCCATTTATAAGTAAAATACAGAAAAAATGGAACAAAATTTTAACAAAATTTCTTTCTAGATACTAGCTTTTAATCATAAACAAGCTTCTGTCCAAGTTTGGTACAAATCCAGGATAGTTTAAGAAAGTTGTTAAAATTTTAAAAACTTTAACCACAGAGTGAATGTAATGTTAACTGGCAGAAAAACTAAGTCCATTTATAAGTAAAATACGGAAAAAATGGAATTTTTTTTTTTTAAAGTTTACTTCTGGATACTATCTTATGATCATAAACAAGCTTCTTTCAAAGTTTGGTAGAAATCCAGGACAGTTTAAGAAAGTTATTAAAATTTCAAAAACTTCAACCACAGAGTGAATGTAATGTTTCCTGGCAGAAAAACTAAGTCCATTTATAAGTAAAATACGGACAAAATTTACTTTTGAATATTATCTTATGATCCTAAACAAGCTTCTGTCCAAGTTTGGTAGAAATCCAGGATAGTTTAAGAAAGTTATTAAAATTTCAAAAACTTTAACCACAGAGTGAATATTTGTGGACACCGCTGCCGACAGAATGTAGGATCGCTATGTCTCGCTTTTTCAACAAAAGTCGAAGGCTCGATAAAAATGATGTGTGCATCCCCAGGCAACGGCTAGGAATAAAACAAAGATGACAATTTGTACAATCCTTTTATATAGTTATTTTCTAAGAAACAGAAAATTTCCTATGTACTTTAAACAACCCATTCACTCTCAGAAACACACATGAAAAAAAATCATACCTTCCAACATTCCTAAATGCATTGAGTCTTTCAGGTGAGTTTTTTCCTGGTCGTGGGGAATAAAAACCACGTTTTCCAGGTTGCCAAAATAAAGGAGAACTATCATCCAAGTCCTCCTCATCATCAATGTCAGTACGTCTTTCTGTTACCTTCTTCTTTTTATCCGTCGCAGATAAATTAAATATATCTAAATCTAGCAATGCTTCAGCGCTCAGTTCCCTGAAATATATAGTAAATATTAATGTATAAAATCTAATAATGCTTTGAATTCTGCAACTCTTTATGATCTCAAATGTGTCCGACTTCAAGAGAATTTTTTGAGATACAGTGGCAGGTTTAAAAAAAAAATCGATAAAATAAGATAATTTTTTTGGTTTTTAAGACTTTGATACCTTTTTCAAAATTCCGACTTTTGGATTTTCAATCAGTATACAAAATAAGCTGCAATCAAACCCATCTCTTTCTCTTTTAGTGGGATACAATATTTCTCATCCAAGACAGTTAAATTTTCAAATTTAATTTTGAAATATTTAAAATTTTACTGTCGAGAATGGGGAAATATTGTATTGCACGCACAAGATATGGTGATGGAATCTGTTTCTCTAATTATTTTTAGACGATGAAGGCCTACTTTATCTTCCTTTCTCAATGATCTGCAAAATGACTGTGTTCTATGTGACGTCATCATACATGGTTGCCCTTTTCATGACGTTTCAATAGCATAATCAGAGAAAAGCAAGAAAATGTGTCGTCATAATAGAATTTTGAACAATGAAAAGCTGAGATCAAGCCAACCATAAATTGTTCATAAAAAATAGTCATCCATTCGGGAAAAGTATAAATTAGCTAAGAATTGGAGAAATATTATATACACACCTTCCTGGGGACTGGATAAGTTCTACAGCTTCCTCCACTCTCTGTCGAAGTGTTTCTTCTGACGTCAACATCAGCAGGAGTTGAGCAGGAGATAATTCTAACAACATACCTGTGATCTTTGGAGCTAAAGACTACAAAACAAGGAAAGTCATTGATAACCATTGATATCTTCTTATATCTATATATTCAAAATGAACTTTCATTCGAGTTTAAGAATGATTTCATATAAGTTTTGAACTTAAGCTTTTTATCTAGAGCATTTGTGACATTGTGAAAATAGAAAAATTCTTCCATCTTTTCAAAATTGTTGACCTCTATTAACCTTTTGTGAGTTTTTGTGCTGTAACTAAGCTACTTTATTGATGTATATACACTATTCCTCTTTTTTTCATATTTGATTAATATGGACATTTATTTTTACTCTGTCATTATAGACCCATAAAATACTTGAAAAGGACTAATCACTGCTTCTAATGTATGGTTATGACACTTTATAATTCTTAAAAAACCCTATCTTGAATCTTCAATGATTCACATTTCAACCCAGACATACCACTTGAATCTTTTATCCATCTATAAAAATTGTAAATTCAATTTGTCATATAAAAATATAACTACCTTTAAATTCTGAGTGTTTGTTGTATATGGAATTGTAACTAATAAAATAAAAGAAGAATGTGTCTGAGGACACGAATGCCCCGCTCAAGCTTTGCAATTTTCAAATTAAAATGGGGCATTACTCTAGAACAGTAAGTGACTCACTGCCCTAATTCGAACTCTGTCTGCGTATTGTGGTTCTTAGCATTTTGTGTGAGTTTCATAAAATTTGGATGAGGAAAACTTAAGTTAGAGTGCGGAAACTAAAATGGGATGGATGAAAAAACGGGCCAACGGAAGGACGATCAAGGGTAACACTTAATGCCGCCATTGCCTACAGCAGGGGCATAAAAAAACCCAGGAAAACCAAGAAAATAACGACACACAAAAAAAACACATGATGTCAGAAAGTAACAAAAAAGCCCTTACTGAGAGCTGCATTTCAAGGGGGAATTTCTTATGAATATTCATAAATACTTACAGCTTGTAATGCACTAACTCTTGGATACAACCGTTCACCGAGTTGTCGTCTGTACTGAGAAATTGTGTCACTCCCACTATCTGTCACTGACGAACTCTCACTAGAGGGAACAGTGGTAGGTGTACTATTATTATTTGTTCCAGCGGGGTCAGAGGGCATATAAAATGGTGGAGCATCTAATGATAATGTAGATCTTAATTCTCTGTCGCGACTTCTACGTCTCTGGATGTTGGCTTGCTGTCTTTGTCTTTCTTTGTCTCTAGATCTTGCTCTTTGAATCAGGTCTGGAATAAAAGATGCATGTTCGAGGTTTGTGTGGTTTTAAAAGGTAGGCACAATTAAAGCACACTCAATAAACAATTTCCTAGATTTGAAGCAGTTATCAGATAATGTTTTTAATGATAAACAGAGTTGATTTATTCTACTTAAATTCTTTGAAACAAATTAGTAACTCATACCGAAGTAATTGTCCTGTTTTCTGATGAGTTATAGCATGCACTCTTTAGGAAATGGCTGCACACAATATCATATTTTTATTAATGAAGTCTTATGTTTGTTTTTCTTGTAATACCTGCTGATGTGATAAGATACTTACTGTATGATGATGATTTCTGACCAACCATGACACCGTCTAAGGATGGTAACTTCTCTTGTGATAAAACAGCCTGAAATACATATTTTTTTAAAAAGCTATTGAATGCAAATTATTAAATTTAAGGATTTTTGCACGATTGCAAGATTCAATAGTTTTTCAAAGTCTCGCCACATACATAACATATATATTATATACAGTAAAATACATTTCAGAATAAGAAATACAAGAATAAACATGTTAGTGATGATGTTACATCTAATAAATCATGGTTTTATTATTATTGTATATATATATCTTGTTCAGTTTTTACCGTTTTACAGTTTTAGTGATTATTGATTGACCTATGATGAAAAAACATCAGTAGTGATAGATTGGTTGATTATGGGAAAATAAATGCTACAAAAAAGTTCCCTCTAGCCAAAATACCAGTAGCTTATAAACGAAGCAACTGTTGGAGCTATTCTATTTAAATGTATGTGGGAGGGTAGGAACAGATTTTCTAAAACCCTTCTACAACCACCATACTTTCTTTTAAGGAATTTTACATACGGTTAATTCAGAAATTTTTGTGTACATTTATTATTGCGATTTTTGAAGATTTGACAAAACTGTGAGGTAAATTATTGCGATTTCCGAAAAATCTCCACACAGATATATGTATCATATATAAGAATGTGATTTCTTATCATTGGTATACTCATCTAGTCCCATTATTCGCATTAATAAAAACCTCGTAATAATTTCTGAACTTACAGTACATCAAATGGGCATACTACCATAATGTCCCACAACCCATGTCCAAAAATAAAACGTCCCTTCCTATACTCCCACATTAAGTTTGATGGAATATCCCTAAGCTAGTGTTCAAATCTTGTTTTTATTACATGTTGATATTCATTGTAGTTTAAAAACTGCTAATTCATGGGTTTTTATGGCATTTTTATTATTACAAAACATGCGACTAGATTTGTCTCACATCTACTAAAATTTGAATTTTGATTTTTAATTGAATTAGTTGTATGCAGCTTTCCTAAAATCACATTAATAAGTTTCAAATATTTGCCTGCTGGTAAAAATTTGTAATTATAATTGTGTGCAATAATTTCTGCAACTACTGTATAATATTCCATGGTGACATAGTTTTCAAACTTTTTCGGTAATTTCTAAAAATCACGATATTATGAACATTATTTAAATCACTACGTACCGTGCCAGTAGATCAAGAGATCCTCCACATACTGTGGATTTCTTCATTTTCTTGGGCACCAATTTTCGAGGACTGAGGAAAAATTTATTTTTGTGGATACTGTTCATTTAGAAATTATTGCGAAATTATGAAAAATGGACAAAAATGCGTACATTTATTATTGGGATTTCTGGAAAATCTGCATACAAATATATGTATCTGATGTTAGAATGCGAGTTCTTATTATTGCGATACTCACCCAGTCGAATTATTCACATTAATTAAAACCTCTCAATAATTTCTGAATTTACAGTCTGTGATTTTGTGGATTTTGCCAAAGTCTGCATACAAGCCTATAGAAAATTTGTACTTAGTTGAACATTTAATAAATCCACAAAATCCACAAAAACTGGTATCCCCCAAATAATAATGAATCCACAGGAAATCCCTAGATTAAGCTGGGAACCAGCATCAGTATTAGACCCTCTTGTATTATATGCTATAAAATAAGTCTTACATTAGCAATGGCAGTATAAAAACTCCTTGCCACCCCACTGCCTTCTCCAGGCTCATCCTTGAAAGTAACCTTTGCCCTATGTACAGCCAATGGTTGACCACTAGTATTTGTTCTTCTGTTGAACTGATTGTTTAGCTGCTTGAAAGACTGGACAATTAACTGGTTTCGGTCCCTTTCTACCTGTTTAATTTGGAAAAAAAAATCATCTGTTAATACATGAACAGAACAGTAAAAATATATATCTTTGCGAGTGTTTTTATATACAGATAGTATTTAACTCAATTTTCCTATGACAGTAGATATTGCCCATCAAATACATACTGTCAATCAAAAAGTCTAATCTAATGTTTAAATCGTGAACTTTGTTTATTTATAAATTTAAAGATGGACATTAAACAGTAGTTAAACTGAAAATGAAAAATCTGGAACATAAGAGACCAAATATAGGGATAGCCTTTCTCAGTTCCACAATAAATGAATAAAAATACAAATATGAAAGGTTCTTTTCTACAATCTATTTACCTCAAGTGTTAAATCTCTCTGCTGAGAGTTACGAATCTTCTCCATTTCTCTTCGGAATTTACTTTCTTTCACAGGGAATCCACCTAGCTCACTAATCACAGATCCAGGTTCTGCCCCGACATCATCACAGAAGACACGCCCAAATAAGTCTAAAGCCAAACGCCATCTTCCTAAGAGAACATCATGTGACAATTGCTGACCAATAGGATTCTGTCTGCTGCAATTGAAGGTTATTCAATTTATATCTTCCTTTTTTCTCGATCCATTTGATGCCATACAATTTATTGAATATTTTGTTTCTTTTTTGATTATTTTTTTTTTGTTGATGTTCATTGTGCAGCAAATTCATTTAAGCTTTCCCTTGAGAATAACTTCTTTTTATAACAAGATGCAATTCCTTCCATGCAATTTTAGGAACTGGAGATTGGGTTTCGTCAAAGCCCAATATTTTAAGATTATTTTTTGAATATATATAATTTAAGGTATTCTGAAATGTCTTTGGCCTATTCTTAAATCTGTTCAGTTTTTCTCTACAGTTTTACAAATTTGAAGTAATAATTCTTATCGCACATTGATACATTTCTAAAGTTTGTAAATCAAAATGTGTATATGTAATAGCGATGTCTCTTATGATTTTGTCCTTCCTTTTTTTTATGATGACTTTTGACTTTCAATTTCTAGTTATCTACTTGCAACTCTAGTTTGAAAGGAAAACAGTAATATATTTGTCAAGCTTTCTGTGTGTGCTATACTACCATTGGATTCAACAGAAAATATCACTGATATCAAACCATCTTGAGATGAGATATGGTCAAAGTCTATTTTGTATGAAGAAGTCAAAAATTAATTGTGGAAACAGGCATATTCTAAACTTCTCTCTATTTATAACTTTTTAAATCTTATTCATTCAGCCCATAGAGAATATAGAATGACTGGGTTGCAGCCAACTAATTTTACCTTGTTGATGTAAATGGAAATGGTGCAGTAGCTGGTGACAAGACAGATGTTGATGCTTGAGATGTTTCTATGACAACAGTGTTAGCAACATTTTCATTGGCTCCTACTATATCTACAGGTCCTTCTGTACTTGAACTGGGTACACTTGCACCAAGACTTCTAAAACATTTTCATTTCACATTATGTATAAAATTATAAAAAAAGTCACAATTTTAATGTTATTTGATATTTTATTCAAACCTCAGATTGAGCTAGTCTACTTGCAACATAACTTTGAAGAAAAGATAAATAATTAGTCTGTAAATTTAAAACACAACTGATGATAAAGTAGCACTATGATTCAAATGTAAATTATTCAATATTTAATAAAAGGATCTTTGACTAGCCTTGCAACCAATGAACTTAGCAATTCATGTCTATAGAAAGTTTTCAAATTTTTAATTAAATGGACAATTTAAAATTAATAAGATAAAAAGATACATATGAACCTGCTGATTATATTACACTCACCCACTTAGTGTACTACTAGTCTGAGGACCAGTGCTGCCCTCTGTTGACAAAGCACTTCCTGATATAACTGTGTCCATACTGCAAGGTGTTTCATCTGACCTTACACTCTGTGAACTTTGACCTTTGGATTCACTATCTGACCTTTCATGTGAAGACTGAGATGGAAAATCAGAAGTAATTTTATCATCTTGAGACGATAACAAAGATTTTAATGGAGAGGCAGTTAAGCTCGCAGACGATAACTTTGAAACAGACGAAGAGGCTTGTGCAGAGCTGGCATGCACGATAACACTAGCTTGTTGCCCTTCAATTTTTTGCTCCAGTGATTGAGTGTCTGCTTGAGATAAATCACTGGAAAGACTGACTTCATGTGATGATGATAAGTTCATTGGTTCTTCAGTAGGAAATCTGTTGTGAAATGGTGCCTCTGGGACTCTACTATGTTGAGATGGTCCCGGTAGATTTGGATTAAACAAGGAACTAGTTGATGGCATATGAGACAGAGGTTTGACTATGACACTAGCATTATTATACGACAAGTCTGTAGCAGATGTTGTCACAGGTGGAGCTGTTGTTGAACTGGTACCTGGCACAGCAGTTGTAGCTGTGGGGACAGGTATGTCAGAAAGTCTAGCAGTCAAGGCCATGCGTACTGGAACTTTATCAGACAGGTTCCATGGCTCAGTGAATGCAGGCTGAACTTTGGTTTCACATGAAGTTACAGCAGATACTGTTTGTCTCGCCATTCCAAACAAATCTTCTCTCCTTGAATTTGGATGGAGAAGGTGTGGCTGGTCAGCCAATGGGAGAGCTTCTACTAAAGGTGTTTTAAAAGGATCTGGAGGAGGACATCCTAAAAATATGGTAGATTCAGAACGATGAAAAAATGGATGTTTTCTGCCAGACTTCCCTGTCGTCTCACTTTCACCATCCATACTTTCATTTTCAACTCCAGACAAACTGTTTCCCGTTATTTCGTCATCATGTTCCTCATTTTCATTTTCGTCATGATCACATGATATCACAGATATCCCATCACGTATCACATCAGTATCAGAATCTGTCCCACTTCTCATGTAATATATCAAGGCATCAAAGACATAAGCAACATGACGCATAGCCGATATGTCCAAACTTGGAAGAGAGTCTGAATGCTCGTCATTATGTGACCTCATCAATGACAATGCATAGTTTAGAAAATCTCTCCTAGCAACACTGCCATCAGCTGCTGTAAAATAAAAAAAAAGTGTGTAATTACTATACAAGTGTATTGTTTAGTACTTTTTAGATCATAAATATGCTTGAATTATGTTAGTTTGGTTAAAATTTTTCTGTGCATTTATTCATGGTTAACTTATTATACATTTTATTCCCTGAATCAGTAATAAAGTACAAAAAATTAATTGAACTGCAAATTCTTCTGATTTCTCTAATATATTCTCTTTACTTCATGCTTTTAACTTATGTATGTTTTAAAATTTTGCAATTCAACTTCCATTTATAATTTTCATTATTTTAAAAAGACATTATAAAATTATAAAAATAAATACACGTATAAATAAATAATGTGTTTTTTCTAGTTTCATTTGTTCTAATGTTCTCTTTTTTATCCTCCAATGAAAGATGTTGAGGAGATAAAAAAAAACTACGAAACTAGTTAAACCCCCACCATGTTTATGGGACTGTTCAAAGCCATAAACATTGTTCATAATTGTCCCCTTCACCTCATGTTTTTGTGTCTACCATAAGAGTTATGTAGGTGTCAAAAATCTGTTGTTCTCTACCAAATATATTCACAACTAATCTTAGACACCAGGTTGCTTGTAAGATAGTGTGGACGCTTATTAATCAATGAGTACATTGAAGATGATCTATAGATACTCTAAAGTCTTTTTTTTCTATGTTGTATTATTTGGGTTACTACTTCTTTAATGTTTTCCTCACATGTCTTTTGAGGCATATTTGTCATAATATTTAGCAATTACCATTTATTTTTATGTATTATTGCACATTGTATATTGAACATTTAAATCTCTTTGAGTCTCCTGTTCCTATGTTAAAACCAGAGGCATAATTTTCCCACCAAATTTTTTTTAGACACAATATATTTTCACAAAGTTTTGATACATTATATTTTCTCTTAAAATGTTTAATTCAAGAAAATTGAGATACTGTGGATTATTTTCTTTTCATCAAGGGCATCAATTTTCGTGGAATGAGGAAAACTGTATTTTCAAGGAGATTTGAAATTTTGTGGTTTAGCCTAAGTCTACATATATCCCAAAAATATTGTACTTCATTGACACTTAAATTTGTTGTTGACTTATAACCATGATATCCATGAAAATAGGTATACCACCCATAATAATAATGAATCAACAGTATCAGAATTTTAGTTTGAAACATTCTTTCATTTTCATAACTTATTAGAAAGTATGACGTATTTTGTTTAACTTACATGCTATAGTACCGAATCTCGCTCTACGTCTCTCCAGAAATTGTGATATTGGATGAGATTCTTCCTGATTGTTTCTTTCCCTCTGAGTCCTGACGTAGTTGGAGTGCAGTGGATGCACAGGGTTAGATTGGTCTGAGGTGTTACTTAATGCTGAACCAAATCTCAGCTGAGCTTCTGTCGAGTCCATCACATCAAATAACCACTCCCATGTATGGCGTAGATTCCACTCGGAGAAAAACTGTAAATAAAACTAAAGCATGTTGTATGCCTCACAGAACTGCTAGTTCTAGTTTATAATAAATCATGTTATTATACTTAAATTAAGGTTGCAACTATTTCATACAAGGGTCAGTTACGTTCGCTTGAGAATGTGATGACATCATAAGCTAAAAATATAATAGACTTTGTCTAGGAAAATAGTGATAAAAATTTTAGAAACTTAAAAGTGAAACTATGACTTCCTATCAAAAAGAATGTTTAAGCTTTATTCTCTTATTATAATTACCTGCCTTTAGTAAACCTGTATGTAAATCTAAACTTACTGGTAAGAAATGTCAAACATCCTGTGCATTATTATAATACCCTATCTATAGTAAACCTTTATGTAAATTTATAGCTTCCTGGTAAGAAATGCCAAATATTCTGTGCATTTATAATAATTACCTGTCTACATGTAAATCTATAGCTTCCTGATCTGAAATGTCGAAAATCCTGTGCATTTATTATGATTACCTGTGTATAGAAAACTTACATGTAAATCTATAGCTTCCTGATCTGATATGTCTAATGTCCTGGGCAATCCTGGAGCTAAGGCATGGTAATCCTGTAACATTGTAAGAAGGTCGGCAATCTGACGAACTATTATTCCAAACCCTCTGGCAAGCTGACTGGCAGTGGTAGTCATGGTTACAGCATTGTCATGACTTTGGGCGGATGTAGTCGTCACGGTTGTGGTTCTTCTTAATGTGGAGGGATCAATATATATCAGACCACTTGTTCCTCCTGTAATAAACATGCAGTATTTGTAAAATTTGAGAAGGCTTTATATAAGTTAAGCCTTTTTTCCACTGATTTTTATAGTTTTTTGTTCTTCTGTTGTACTGTTACACCACTGTCTCAGGTTAGGGGAGGGTTGAGCGCTCAAATTCATTGTTTAACCCCACCACAATCTTTGAGTGCCTGTCCCAAGTCAGGAGCCTGTAGTTCAGTGGTTGTTGTTGATTCATGTCTGTCATATTTGTTTTTCGTTAATTGTTTTGTTATAAATTAGGCCATTAGTTTCCTCAATTGAGTTGTTTCATATTTTTCATGTCGGGGCCTTTTATAGTCGACTATAAGGTATGGGTTTTTCTCATTGTTGAAGGCTGTACGGTTGCCTATAATTGCTTACATCCATTTCATTTGAACTTTGGTGGATAGTTGTCTCATTGGCAATCATACCACTTCACCTTATTCTTATATTTACATGTATACAGTTATTCAAGAGCTTACACACTAATGTCACAACTGCTGAAATGTTTACTTCGTTTTAAAGGCCAAGGAGCTCTGAAACTCAGATCAAAGTCATATGAAACCTGACATAAATGCATACACACCTTATGATTTATAACCAAATAACAAATATTGTTGACCTATCATGTATTATACCTAAGATACACACCTAATACAACAAGAGTGCACAGGCTGAGGTGTCTTGCAAGCATTATTGTTTAGCTTTAATACAAATATCACATAAACCTTAGTTCTAAAGCATCAAAAAGATCCTTTAAAATAAGGTTAAGGTCATATGAACCCAGCAAAATGGATATGTTCATCTCACACTCATTCCATGAACAAATAAGACCTTGCAATAATCCTATATACAAAACATGATTATCCTAATACTCAAAATAGTTGATACTCATAATTTCTTGTTTTTTAATTTTTCTATTTTGATAAAGAATTTTGCCATACCTCCATTAAAATTTGCATAAAACATATTTTTTAGAATTATAAAAAAAAGAAAAATAATACAATGTACAGAAAATGAAGCAGGAAGAGTGGTATATTCACCTGAGGTAGTATTAGCAGCAGCTGAAGGTGTTGGTCTAGAGGAGGTTGTGTCCCTCTGTCTTATGGCCCACTGCATTGTCTGTGGGGCTTGAAGAGTTCTCTGTCCATGAGTCCCTATGAAAAAAAGCATTTCAAAATTGTCAAAATTTTAAGTCCTAAAAAGTCTTACTGTTCTAAGGATGGTAGGACAATAAATAATTGTATTTGTTATGTACAAACACCAGGTATCAGAAGTGGAATATATCCAGGTACCATTCTGGAGTTCAAACTACAATAGCCCAATGCCAGGTCTGCGACTTTTTTCACAAAGAATCTTACGATTAAAATGATTGTAAGTTATATTGAATTGTTCATGACTTACAAGTGTTTTTTATACTCATAAGTTTTTTTGTGAAAAGATTTGATGGTGTTTATTACTGCAAGATTAGTAATTTTCCAACCCTGTATCCTCAACTCAAATGTTCACAGGACTGATGCACTGTTTTCTGATCTTTGGTCGGGTTGTTAGTCCCTTTGACACATTCCCCGTTTCCATACTCAATTTTACTGTTACTTGCCTAGGGTATAATCAGCTTAACAGTCAATTTTCGGCATTGATCATGATCTAGCATAACAATTTAAAATTTTTTACAGAGAATATAAAATGTACTTATACTGTAAATTCAGAAATTATTGTGTGAGGTTTTCATTAATGCAAAATACTGGGCAAGTATCGCAATAATAACTCACATTTTGATATCTGAAGCACAAATCCGTATGCAGATTTTCCTGAATTAGCAATAATTAATCTTGCATTTTTGTTCATTCTTCAAAAATCGCAATATTAAATGAATGCATTAATTTCTGAATTTACAGTATTGCATTAATATCTAATCTATAACCTACAAACTGTTTAATATACCACTTTTACCACTTTTCTTCTAGACTCAAGGCCAATAAGAGCTTGATATATTGTATAGACACCTGCCTATTGTTAATTCCATATATAAACCTATGTCCTTTGGTTTTTTAGGTTGTTCGGTTGTTGTCTCATTGACATATGGCCCACATCTGCTCTTGTCCATATCAATCATTGGCATAAGGATTAGATATGTAAACTTAGTAAAATTTAAAGGTGCCAAAATTTTTCCTGACTAAATTTGTCAGAAGTGAGCTGAAACTGCATTAATTTTTGGTTGCTTAATATCCAGTGGCAAATATTTCAGGCATGTTCAGGACGATAGCTGAAACTTCCGAATTTGTTTACTAGCCTAGGTAAAACAGAAACCTGATCTTAGAAAAGACTGTCCATGTTTTGTACAAGCAAGTAAATGTACTGTCTTAACCTGATGTATTACATCTTTCTAACTGTTCATCAATAAAATTCATATCGTCTGCATCATTAGCCTCACTTTGGTTTTCGTCGCTCTCATAATCATCCTCTTGATTTGACGAGTCTGGAGAGTCACCACTATCTTCTGAGAAATGGGCGAGACTTAATGGTCCTAAATAGAAATAATTCTTTAAATTTACTGCTAAAAAATTATATAAGAGCACTGCTCTTGTTTCCTAATCCCAATTGAATCACTTGTATATTTCGTATTCATGTCTTTACCCTTGTAGCTTTATATATGACAATTTCTTTAATAAAATATGTTTACACTAAAAAATTATTGATTTCTACAATTTTTCACTGAGGACCACTTTTTAAGATTGTTTTAAGATATACAATACAACCATACAAGTTTGTTTATTAGCAATTATAAAAACCAATTTCCTAATGTTTCTTTTAACATATTACTTTCACGAGTAATTTAAAAATTGTGCCTGTTTATTATTTGTGGTCTTTATTGTTTTCCTTTTAAAAAGTTTTGGTGAAGCATAATTAGACAAGTATTGTGCTTAACAAAATGTTTTTTGAAAAATTTCAATAATCAAGATATGAATTTTCTGAAAATGTTTCAATGTTCTATGATACATGTTAAAGTTCAAGTTAATCCCTCAAAGAGTTGCCGTGGTTGCTGTTATAACACTCACCTGTTCCTGCATCTGAACCTGCTGTTGCTGCGGTAACAGCACTCCTCTGTACACTAACATTATCCTGGTTGCTATGACTACTTTCACTGTCACTCTCAGATTCTGCCAGCAAATCCAAATCCATATCACTTTCAGCAGCACCTACAAGTAATAGACATTTCAGGGAAAAATAATATATATTTCTCAATAGACATTTTTAGACTTCTATGCAAATTTGTCTGTCACACAAGTTCCAGCAAATCTTTGCATTTCAATATAAAGCATTTGACATCCTCATTAAAAAGTGATTGTTGCATGAGGTCAGAAGACTATTTGCATTTAGGAACAAATTCAGCTTAATAATCAAAAGTGTAAATATGTTTATGGACCAACCAAGAAATTGTGTACCATAATGTAAACATACTGATTTAGACATTGTTCATACATAATTTACCAGGGAGGAAGTTGAATTTCGAAACTGATCCATGTAGAACAGTAATTTTTTACTAATTTTTTGCTGGACCTAGTTTATATGGTTGGCTATTCTGCATGTGAAACAAAGCAAATGTTAAGTTTTTCAAGACATTTCAACATTTTTTGGCCAACTTTCTTTACAATTAACAAGAATAACCTTCTAATAATTGACATTTTGGATTTGTTCCCTTTCCTTCTTGTAATAGAATAGATTGACTGTGAATTACAAGTCTATCCAAAATGCATCTTAGTGATCACAAGCTTGATAAAAATCTTAATTTTGACAGAAAATGTTGGCAGAATATTTGAAATGACTTAATGACTACTAAAATGGCAAATATGGCAACTTTAAGTGCATAAGAAGTTAAGACTGAATTTAAGCTATAGATGCTCTCTGGGTGCTACTTTTAAAGGCTAACACCATAATGTTCTAATAGGCTAATAAGGTAAAAAATAAACAATGGAAATTCAACCAATGGCATCACATTATTCTAATTTTGGTGTATGACCAATTAAATTACTCTCAGTAATTCAAATCCTGAAAAGGCCGATTGTGCAAATGACATTTCATTGGAAAATCATGCCAAGCACTAAAAAGACATCTACTTACCTTCTTCATGGTCACCATGACCTTGATCCTGATCTGAGTGTTCTGATTGGTGGTCTTCATTGTGATCAATATCTGATTGGTCATCGTCTCTTTCCAATCCATCAACTACCTCAACCTAAAAAAACAAAAGAAATAATTTACCATATTTGATTCTTGTAAGATTTTTTTGATATATAGACTTATTGCCTGTTGACTGTGGATTAATACAGTTATATTTCATTCATCATATGCCTAAAAGGATAATTTCTAAGGTCCTATCAAAGTATGGTATAGTGTGGACTAGACCAACTGTTTGCATGAAAACCACTAGGTCTGTACAAGATCAAAAGAATCTATAATGGTACAAAATTGAGTGGTTTAAAATAAAGAATTCATAAGCATACTATGGTTCGTGTCTGCCATATCTGTGTTTTGTAAACTTTTTGTTATAAATTAGGCCGTTGGTTTTCTCATTTGAATTGTTCACATTTTTTCATATCAGGGACTTCAATTAGCCACTTATAGGGTATGGGTTTTTCTCATTGTTGAAGGCCCTACAATTGCCCATAATTGCTAACATCCACTTCATTTGAACTTTGGTAGATAGTTGTCTCATTAACAATTATACCACATCTCCTTATTTTTATATAAAATTCTATATAACATATTCATACTCAAATAGTTGAGATGCAAAAAAATAAAACAATCAAGTATCAAATGAAATAATTGAACAAACCTCTTCAACGTCTGCTTGCATTATTTCATCATCGTCTCTTTCAACTGGATCCCTGTTGCTCTGGTGTGATGGTAGCACACTTGAGTGAGAAATGTAAGATGAACCAGTTCCAGTGTCTGAAGAACTTGTTCTGGCTGGAAGTGGATCAACATTGAATATCTCCTCACTTCCCTTTAACGATAAATACAGAAATCATAGTGGAATTCTTTTTTTGGTATTCAAAATCATTGCCAAGTTATCTCCCCTATCTTTTTGTTAAATTTGGAACCCTTGATTGCAAAGTTTTTTTATTAAAATATTTGCAATGTTTTAAGCCTGACACACAAATGTTTGTCAAATCATTCTGTACATGAATTCCTAGGACATTCTGTTTTGAACTAACATAATGTGACTAAAAAGCATTCAAAATGTGTGCATGCATTTATTATAGCAATTGATGAATAGACAAAAATGTGAGTTTAAATATTGCAATTTAAGGGAATGCTGCAGACAATTGCAAATAAAGCTATCAAAATTTAAAATGAAAATTTTCATTTTTGCAAAACCAATCAATTTGTTATTTTTGCAATAATAAAAACATTGCAAAGATTTCTGAATTTACAATATTATGTCCCATTTTCTGTTACATTACTTTATGTTATATCAATAGTGATTAAAAATATAGATGAAGACAGTAGTTTGATCTTTATATCTGTTATCTTATTGTGGTGTTTTGTAAAACAAACCAAAATACAAAATATCACTTGGTCTAATTTTGAGAAATTTTTACAAAAGAACAATGCAGGCAAAGTATAGAAGTAGAAGGAAGAGATTATTTCAGCTAACCCTTAACATATAACACTGTGCAAACAGCTGATTGATAAATATATCAACTCCTTTGTCCAATGAAATCAAAAGCTAGTGTTGAAAATTAAAAAAGAAATTGATACTAACCTGTATGGCTTAAATATTTCCACTGAGAAAGGAGCAGTAAATCTTGTGACTCACAAAATAACTTGTTACTAACCTGTACAGCTTCAATATTTCCACTGACCAATGAGAATGGAGCAGTAGGTCTTGTGACTCCCATTCTTACTGGAGCAATTAGTGAGTTGCCAATCTCACAAAGTTCTTCAATAGCTATGTTTATCAAAGCCTGGAAAGCCTTTTTACATCTCACTAATGCCTCACATGACTTAGACGTTGAACTGCAAGGAAAAAGGACCAATAGTACAATAATATCAGTATTTATATTTTTTAACTTTATCTTTATTAACATTGCATTCTTTTTGCATATAACGCAAAACTGCAAAAACTGCCAAAATTTGCCTCACCTTGAGATACTGCCATTAATATGAAGTTATGAGACTAAATAAGATGTAAAATATTGATCTGTTTAGGTAAGGCATTGGGTTAGATCTATTTTGTCCCAAAACTATTTGAAAAATTGTCATTTGAGGTAAAATATGTCAATTTTGACATTCTCAGAGCTTCAAAATGACACCACACTACTGTGTCCAGATGATATAATCCTACTCATGTATCTATTAATTTAACATAGCTGTGAAAGGAAGCAAACTTAAAATAGCAATTTTTGAACTTAATTTCAATTTTTGTTATTCAGATGTGATTTTAAAGATATGAAATACTGTTTAACATGGTTCATTATCATGCAACAAGATTGTGTAGAGTTTTCATCATTTTTTTTTAAAAGATAAATTTAAACAACTCGACTGTGGATTCATTGATTGCATGAATACCAATTTTTGTGGATTACAGCAGAAAGCATCAAGTGTGTAGGTAAAGGTAATATCTTTGGTTAGTTTGCTTGCTAGCTGAACAGTGAAGTCATTACTAGGTTAGGTAAACTACCCTCCTTTAAGAGTAGACTAGTCTGACCGATTACCAATCTATCTGTCTGTAGGACTATACTACTCCAAAAGGAGGGTTGTATACCTAACCTAATAATAACTTCACGGTTCAGCTAACAAGCAAGCTAACCAAAGATTCTACCTTTACCTACACACTCAATGCATTCTGGTGTAAAAAAAGGTACTTTCTTGGATTATTGAATTTCTGGATTTTCCCAAATCTGCATACAAGCCCATAGAAAACTTTAACTTTGATAAACATTTAAGTTCATGGATTACCTTTACCTACAAGAGCCCCACGAATAATAATGAATCCACATTATAAAGATATGAAGATAACTTGACACCATTCTCATGTGACTTACCTTTTCTTTTTGTTAGCATCAGGTGACATCTCAATACTGATGACGACAAAGATTCTTGCTACCGATCGTACAAATCTACGAGCCACAGTTTTTGCCTCTGCTTTACGACCCTCAGTATTATCATTCTGCATCTCTCGGATCAATGTCGTCAGTAATGTTTCTAACATCTGAAAAATTGCAATCATTTCTGGACTTTAAAAAAACATCCCAAAACTCCAAAATGGTTTACTGATCTAACTAGATATTTTTTTTTAATTTCATTAAATGATGTGAGTTTTTTAGTGTGAATAAGAGGATTTGATTGTTTTGTATTTTGTGGGTGTTTGACATCCCTTTAAGCACCATGGCTATATCATCAGATCATGATATGAGTGGAATTAGAACCATGGAAAATTGACAATCTTTATCAATTAAAATCATAGTAGATCAATCACAACTGGCCAACAGCAAGGTTAGCTCAAAATCTCAAACAAAAGAGATATGGAGTAAACATATAGACAACAAAGAAATATAGAGTAAACATATAGACAACAAAGAGATATGGCGTAAACATATAGACAACAAAAAGATATGGAGTAAACATATAGACAACAAAGAGATATGGCGTAAACATATAGACAACAAAGAGATATGGAGTAAACATATGGACAACAAACTAAGACAAAAACAAAAGACACCTACGGATCAACATACAACCATCAATAATTGACAGATGTATTTACAGTTTACACCCTGTGACTAAAAAATATCTATTTAATGGATAAAAATAATTATCAAATCCATTTTTTTATTTGCCAGTTTCCTGTTTATGTGACAGAATGGAAAGGAGATTCCCCCATCCCCAACCCAAAGAAGAATTTCAGTGTGCTAGCACATCCCCTAAAACATATCATGGAAACATGAGGATAATAGTTAGCAGATACAAAACATTACATTCATATATTTTATCCAAAATTGTAATTCTATCCCATTTTTATTTTTTCTGGTAACTGTAATTTGTTTAATACCTACCTCTACACTACACTTGACCAAAAGATTGTGTGTAAATTTGTCTAGATGAGCTGTGCCACTTTGACTGTCCAAATATAACTGATCTTCATACACAACATCTGGTGAACTGAAAAGAAAAGAAATGTAAAAGATTTTACCAAAAGACACCTGATCAATGGTGCAGTCACTGATAATGGGGAGAAAAAAATTAAACAAGCTGTAGTGTCTTGTTTAATACAATCCCAGTCAACCTGTGTAGTCTTTTATGCTCAGATGTGAGTTTTAAATCATTTTAAGTAATTGGATAGAGTCATTTATTGCTGACTCTATCAACAATTATTCATATCGCTCACATTAAGATGCCCATCACTGCATTAAAGTCTACTACAAATACATGGTAAATACATTTTCAGTAAGTACAATGTATTACCTGATGTCGGAGTTGCATGTAACTTTTATTAGAGTTGTTTAAATATCTCCAAAAATCAGATATCTTTGAAAGCTTGACTATGATAATAAGCTATTAAATTTTCAAAAATCAAAATAAATTCAAAATGAAATTTGAACTTATTTTTGGATTTTGTTATAACTGTTCATTTACTTCTTTTTTTTCATTTTTAAAGGACAAATATTTAAGTAAGGAATTGAACTAAATAATAAATACTTTAATTTTTATTTTTTTAGTCGTTTTAAACATATATAATAAAACTATACATGTAAATGATATACCATTGATAAAAAATCCAATCAGAAAATAATTGATTATGGCTTTTGTTCAATTACACAACTTTACCCTTTATTATAGATTGTAAGAGCGATGCCTAATATAGAGTCTAGAGGAAATCTAGTTTAATGCAACGTATTCCAAAACTGTCACAATTAATTCATGCTCAGAAAAGTAATATTAAGTATCATATTAGCCTCAATTTACAAAATTCTACACAGATCTCGATGTCTACAGACCCCCATGAAATCATAGTTTTAACATCTCACAATCAATATCTCATCATTATGTGTAACACACACATTCAAAACCAATTTTGTGCTAAACAAGGGATAAGTAGACAGAGTTCAATGCATAGAAATCTGCTGTGATGCTGATTCTATGGCCTTCTGTACTCATCACAGCATGAATTTTATAACGGAAGTGTGAATTAAAATATTGCATGCATTTATTATTGCTATTTTTGAAGAATTGACAAAAATTCGTGATTATTTATTGCGATTTCAGGAGAATCATTCCACAAGATTTTACCTTGTCACACTGTAAACCAACTTATTTCCGTGGATACTTTATTTCGTCTTTAGCTGACTTGCTGTGATTTATTTTTGTGATTTTCTAATTTTGTTGATGTATTTTATATGTATAAGTGAAGATCCACCTCTACATATTCACAACAATTTATATTTGTGTTATTTTTCTACTTGTGAAAGTTTTTAAAAAATAAATCGCTTACAGAAATAAGTTGGTTTTCAGTAATCTTGATCACCTAATGTTCCTGTCCCTCAATTTCTTGTTTTCTGTGTACGATGTTTTTTTATCGTGGGTCTTTTTTTAACTTTTTTTTTTAATTGCTACCTTCTTTCTTTTATCCATGCTCAGAGAAACCAACCTGAAGTATCATACCTGCAGCACAAAACATTGAATCTATAACAGACCTCAATTTCTACAGCCTCCCAAGTAATCATTAAATTTACAACTCACTAGTATCATTTCTTATCATTGTGTGCGTTACACATACACTCAAATACCAATTTTTCAAGGGATGTGCAGAAAGAGGTCAACGTATAGACTTCTGTTCTGGTGCAAGGTCATTAAGCTTCAAATGTATTCATCATTGATGGAAATTTTTTCCTAACCAAATTTATTCAAATTCTTACAAGTAAAATACATATTGACAATATTTATTTATTTTAAAACAATTGACAAATACTTTCGTCTCTGTAAGCAGATAGAATTTTCAAGATGTACAATAAAACAATTTAATTTTTTTTTTTATGAAGCCTTTTAGAACTTATGTGTAGAATTCAAAATAATGTAAGTTGTGTTGGTTCCTAATAAACTTCCTGTACTCATCAAGTTATAAGATACTAAACAAAACACTTATAGGTCATCCAGGTAATGAAGATGCTTATCAACTTAGCCATCACCCCCATTACATACACAGTGATTATTATCTTTTTTTTTGTTTAGAGCTGCTTTCAGTCACCATTGCTATATCATGTGTATTTGTTGGTGGGGAATATCTGAGTTCCTGGGAGTAAAAATCACCTTGCACAATAGGGTTATAACTCTCAACTGTTGTTATTCCCATGCTCAGAAAAAGTAATACAGAGTATCATACCAACAGCACAGAACAGAAACTCCCACAGATCTCAATGACTACACATTCTGCATGTTATCATCATTTTACTAATGGGTCAATTTCTCATCACTGTGTTAAGTACACTCAAGTTTTCCGCAAATTATAGAGAAGTTTCTGTTGTGCTGTTTTCTCATATGCAACGCTATATCATCATGGCATGACATTCATTAATTTCAAAGTGGTTCCAAAATTCCTTTAATTTCAAACGGACTCCAAAATTTCTCTACATTAAAGGCATCAGACCTTACTATTCAAAATAAACAAGTCCTGAGTATTAAAGAAATAAAAAGTTGTGAAATGTTTTCATAAAATTTTATCAAAATAAACAATTATAGTGAATATTGTAAAAGGTTCAGCCTGTGAGATTTCTTTACTATTCAAGTAAATTGAACAGTTGGAAAGGTTTGTTCAGTCAGACTTCTTCTTTATCAATAAACTGAATTGAATATTTTGAAAGATCATTCATACCTTTTCTTCACAAGCTTTGAGACTACAAAAGCATGATGTTACTATCACATGATGATTTTTGAAAGTGTTGCCATGGCAACTTGGTATGGGTCATCTTACCTTGTGTTCTGTTTCTTCCCACTGTGTATCATGGCCTTTACTGCTGTCCAGTCGTTCAGAATTCTTTCTAATGCCCTGCGACTAAACTTTGGGGGTTCAAGGTCATGTTCTGGCATCTCCATGTCTATAAATAGAAAAATTTAAAAACAATTGTTTTGTAATAAAAATAAACTTAGATTTTTGCCTGAGTAATGAAAACTATAAAAGGAAACCTTGGTTGCATGATAAATGTGTACAATAGTGGTGTTCTTTTGATGTTTATTTTTACTTTACTTTTTGTACATATGAAGTTGTAGAGCGATGTCTAACATAATAATTTCCCCACATCTCCTTTCATTCATTCTTATCACAATGAGCAACAATAATTTACTAGAAGTAAAGTTTGTGATAAAAGGATAAGGTCATGTTTCGCCCTTGAAAGTGTTGCCATGTGACCTAATATGATCCAAGGGATAGATCTAAAAGAATCCAGATCTATCTCTTCTATTCAACAAATGAAAAGTCATGATCCACATGTTTAAGGTCAATCTGATCCACTAAATGGTACATGTATAACTTAAATTCTTCCTTCCAAAATTTCTAAATAAATAATTTTTTTTTCAAATTTTCTTTCCCTGTAAACTATACACATATGTACTTTTACGGTACTAACAGTCTGTAGATACCTATATTGCAAAAGTTTAATGTTTTTCTCTAACTGTAAATAACGTCTTTTACACTAAATCTATTGGATGTTGGATGTGCACTGATTGATATTTTAGTCTTAGATACATGATTTTTTTTATTAGTTGTTATTGGCTTAAAAATAGCTGTCAGTAACTGCGAGTACTTTCAGATCTGTACTTACTATTTTGTTGAGGGATGAGGGATGGATAAATACCCTGCCACGTCCGGTCTGTGTTTTTGTCTGATGTTTTTTCTGCTTTTTAGCGATCTGAATTAAGCCTTTTTCAATTGATTTTTATATTTGTTCTTATGTTGCACTGTTACACCACTGTCCCTGGTTCGGGGAGGGTTGAGCACTCACAAATATGTTTAACTCTGCCACATTCTTTATGAGCCTGTCCCAAGTCAGGAGTCTGTAGTTCAGTGGTTGTCGTTGCTTGACGTCTGTTGTATTTGTTTTTCGTAAATTGTTTTGTTACAAATGAGACCGTTAGTTTTCTCAATTGAATTGTTTATTATTTTCTTGTCAGGGGCCTTTTATGGCAGACTATACGGAAGGTTTTTTTTCCTCATTATTGAAGGCCGTACGGTTGCCTATAATTGCTTACATCCTCTTTAATTGAACTTTGGTGGATAGTGGTCTCATTGGCAATCATACAACATCTCCTTATTTTTATATACTAGCATAAACAACTAATGCAACTATACACGACCTAAGAAATTTCAAAATCATATACTGTGGATTATTTGTGGGATACTCGTTATGTGGATAATCTTTTACTACAAATTTAGTATTCAACAAAATATAAATTATCTATAGACATTTATGCAGATTCTGTTAAAACCACAAATTCAAGTTTTGACAAAAATTCAATTCTTTCACAATCCTAGAAAATTTGTACCCACAAAACTAAATGAATCCACAAAACAAAGATCAACAGACTACAAAATCCCAAATTACCTAATTCTTGGGCTAAAGTTTTGTTTCTGGTCCCTGGGGCTCTAGTTCTTGCAGGCCTATACTGTCTCTGTTCTACAAGCTGTCGACCAACAGTCTGTACAAGGAACAGTAAAATATTCTCTCCTCTGAAAAGAATTACTAATATTCATTATCTTTTCATCTTATTTTTTCTAGCTTTGCAAGGAAACTGAGAGAAGTATTTTCTTACGTCGTACATTTTTATTAATTCATTCTACCATAGTGAGAATAAAACTATATTTCAGTTATGATTCAAAATAATTTAGACTATAAATTATCTGTATAAGAGTTACGTGTTCTGACTAATATCTCTGCCCTCCTTTCTAATGTGTTTCATATCATACATGTAATATGATAGAAAACGCCATTAAGTATTTTTGCATATACTCGTTCAATCATATTGATGAAATGTACCAAATATAAACAACACATTTGTAAAATTAAAATATGTACTCCTTTTCATTTGAGGGGTTTATTTATTTCACAAACTAATCAATTTTCAACTGTGTATATTTAACAAACCTGCTATTAGGGAGAGTAACCAGATCTGTGTCTGTTAGTATTTTGCTCAACAAGTCAAACCTCGGTCCCTGTTGTCCAGCAATCAGACTTTTACATTTACATTTTTCCCAGCAGTCACAGTAAGCAGTTGGTGAGGTCCTCTTCATTCTAAAAAAAATATGTAAAATATTTAAAACAAGAATGTAACTATAGTACATGGATGCCCCACTCGCACTATCATTTTCTATGTTCAGTGGACTGTGAAATTGGGGTCAAAACTCTAATTTGGCATTAAAATTAGAAAGATCATATCATAGGGAACATGTGTACTAAGTTTCAAGTTGATTGGACTTCAACTTCATCAAAACTACCTTGACCAAAAACTTTAACCTGAAGGGGGACAGACAGACAAACAAACAGACGCACCAACGAACAAACGGAGGCACAGACCGAAAAACATAATGCCCCTAGGTGGGACATAAAAAAAATAAAAATATTCTGTGGTGATATCCTCTTAAATCTGTAATCAAAAAATTTAACATAGATATTTAACAGAATTCTAATAGACTTTACTTTCCTTGATAGATATTCAGGGGTCAGAAACTTAGGTGAAGTTGGAGAAATCATATTCCCCTGAAAGACTTAATTAAGTCTGCTTATCATTTCATAAATATTCAAACATTTCCTCTTTTTTCAACAATTAATTTATAGAAAAATATCTTTTCCTGTCTCCCATCATTTCTTGATATTTTTCCCTGGCAGATGGTGTAGTAAATTTCATTAAAGTCTTACAGCATATATATTTGTACATGTACAAAAATTGATTGACTTTCAGTGTTAAACGCCGCTTTCAGTCAGTTTTAATTGGTGGAGAAGCCAGAGTTCCTGGAGAGAACAATCAACCTTTAGTCCTAAAACAAGCAATTTTAGCCAATTAAGATCAGAGTAGAACACAACAGCCAAAGTGTTGACAGGCTAGTGATACTATGGATGAACTACACAGACCACTTGTCCACGGAGGCCCCTTTGTACAAAGAGCAATAAACTTTTATTTGGATCTTTGCTTGGTGGACCATGAAACCAATGTTACCTGTGTTTTCTACTTATTGAAAGAGCAGCAACAGTTATTATTTTACTATACTTATATCTACAGAAAGTTTATATCTTACTTGCAATCATGTCCTTTATGACACACCCTTGCACACTCTGTACAGCAACACAGAGACCCAGTCAACCCACAAGTCTTACACTCGAAAATATCCTGTTTTATATGTTCTCTACCCGTCCACGTAAAACTACAAGTGTCATTACAACATAACATCTGTAGTGGAGAACTGTCGAGGGTGGAGCCGGGTGGATAAATCATCTTCATGAATGTTGTTTTGTCTGTGTCATCCTTACTGGTCAACTTTCTACATGTGTCAAGGATAACAAGGGCTCCCTGGTATGCACAACCTCGAACTGACTGCATAAAGGGAGTTAATCCTTCAGCATTTCTAAAATATTAATGTTGTTTATGGTCAATAATCATGTCATCTTATTGAATCTTAAATACAATAATCATTCAATATTTCTGTTAACAGATGTAAATCAACATGTATATTACTGTTCAAATTTTGGTCAAGGATCATGTCATCCAATTGAAACTCAATCCAATAATTATTCAACATTTTTGTTGACAGATGTAAATGAACATGTACAAATATGATGAAAAGGATATAATTCCAAAAAGTTCAAATTTTGATATAGTAGTGATTGTGATGCATCACTTGTTTGGAAAAATAGAAAATAGACTTACTGTCACTGCCTCAAAGCATTTGATTTAATACTTGGTCAACATCCTACATCTTTTTCAAGTGACTATGAGGGCTGGATGGGGGGGATCCTTCATTTTTGTACTCTAATTTTAATTTTTTTGCGAAAGCAGTTATAACAAGAAAATTGTTTATGTTGTTTTTCTCTTTTCTTTATATTGTTTACCCATTGTTCTATATTCTTTATTTTTTTTCCCTATTTTTTTCTATTCTTGATTTTTTTGGTTGATTTTTCTGTACATATGATCCATTATTCTCTATTTTGTAAACCTCATCCAGGCCCTCTACTATGTCTCTAGAATTATTCCACTTAATCAACATGCAAATCACCATATTCAAAATCACTTGTGAACACTTAGGGGTAAAGATTGCTTTTATTTTGTATTGTAAATTGCAATGTACCTTAAACAATGGAACAAATGTAGTAAATATTTGAATTAGAATTATCTTCCTTTGTCCATAGAAGAGATAGATTAATACACAATTCACTACTTCATTACTTTTGTATTCAAACACCATGCAGTACTTTGTTATAACTTGTGTAATTTTTAATAATGGTTATTCCCCGTTTCCACTCTCAATTTTATACACATCATTTTGTAACTTGAATATATCGAAGTGTTTATCATAAATAAATTGACATGTTTAAAATCTAAAGAATGTTCACCTCACTGCACTATATTAGGTAAGGCAGAAATAGCGAAATAAAGCTGCTAAAATATAGCTGTCAAGCCAGTGACAACAGGGTTTTCTTTGCATTTCACACAATCTTTACTTAAAAAAAAAATCATCCCTTCTAATGGTTATCAAAGAAACAAGATAAAATTAAGAAAGCTGTGTAGTTTATAAATTGATACAATAATGAAGAAAAAAACATCTTCAAAGCCTACAGTATTGTATAATACACACCCCCTCTACCAATTACATGTCTTGGGTAATAAAGTGTGTATAATACATGTCCCAATACGGTAGTTTTACCTTGCAGACAAAAGACCTGGTAGATGCTGTTGTAATACTGGAGAATCACAGAGTATTTTTAGAATTTGATTGGCTTTGTTCCTGCGTTCTTTCTCGTCCATTTTCACTGGAGGAACACAAACAGTACTGAACTCTGGAGGGCCTAGTGGACCAATGTTACCAACAGGGTGGGGTAATCCTGTATCTACAAATACAAATTTACATGCTCATTATTCTGCAGCTGCCTAATGGACCAATGTTACCAACAGGGTGGGGTAATCCTGTATCTACAAATACAAATTGACATGCTCATTATTCTGCAGCTGCCTAATGGACCAATGTTACCAACAGGGTGGGGTAATCCTGTATCTACAAATACAAATTAACATGCTTATTATTCTGCAGCTAATGTATTAAAATGAATGTGGAACACATGAAAGAGATTTCCACATTCCACTGACAATCAACCAACTTCTTTGAGTAATTTTTTAAACTTCAAACAGAAATACAACCATAAAATTACAGGTACTAATCTACCTGCACCAGATGCACATTTCTACAATCTATGTCTCTTCAGTGATGCTCGAAGCAAAAATATTTGAAAATCCAAAACCTAATACAAACGTTTAAGAGCTGATCAAACCAAATAGGAACTAAAGTATAGTCAAATATGGAAAAGAAATCAGATCTTTGTTTGAGAGAGATGTATTCCTTAATCTAAAATGATTTCAAAAATGTTATATCATCAAATTTCAATCAAACTGTAAATGATAAACAATGACCAAAAAAATGGAATTTCCCTTCCTACCCTCAACTATCATTTTAATTGAACAGTCATCCAGTTATTTATTGTAGTCATAAAGTTATATGCTGAAGATTTGAATATTTACCCATATACAATGATTCAGCATAAGTTGGTGGGTCTGGCGGCCATGACAGTGTAGGAACACATATCCCTGGATCACTCTCTCTGTCAGAATCACTGATGTCCAGTCCTGCTCTGGACCCTGTACTGCTCCGAGGTCTGGCCACTGTAGTTATCCTCATCATATCTCTGATCATCTCATTTCTATTGGCAACACTGCAAATGTAATCCATTTAGTTTTATAATCATGGTATTGTTCTTGTTTCAAATTTTTTCCAAAATTTTCAAGCACAGTAAAATCTTTCCAATAATTTATTATCAATCTTTTTTAAATAAAACAAAATCAATAAATAATTTTAAAGATTTAATCCAACTTCTTAAAATCATACATTTTTTTTCACATTCTAATTTCTTAAAATTCTCATGTTTGCACAATGATCCAAACATCAACAGAGATAGTTACTAACATCCGCTTAAAATACAATCATGCTACATCAATTATCCCTTAAAATACAAAAATGCTACATTGATCATCCCTTAAAATACAATCATGCTACATCGATCATCCCTTAAAATGCTAATCTCTATTCATCAGTATGAAAAATTCCAGATTGTATGAAAAAGTTAGCATTTCTACAATATAGCAATTATCTCTACAGAAAGGCAAGCAATGTGTACCAGGAAGACCTTTGATCAGATTTTGAAATGCACTATATTGGATCCGTTCATTGTTGGTGTTTCACTTTATTCACCATGGTTGGATATATTATGGCAGCTAGATTTTGTGGATGAGGGAGACAGAGTGCCCTTCAACCTTGGAAAGGAAAACTGTTAACCTTAGTCAATAAATAAAAACATCTTCCTATACCACCAACACAAAAAGATAATTTGACCAAATCCTCTTTCTAGTTAAGGCCTTTGTCTTAACACAGTCCTCTTTCTTAACATTAATAATTCATATCTATTAGGACAAAACTGAAAAATAAATCACAGATTGAAAAATTTTCAATTAGAAGTTGTAAAATGTGATGAAATGTTTTTTCACCTTGCTCTATCCATCAATAAATTCCAAGGGGGAAAAGTGAACTTCTGACAAGGCACCAGATCATAATGTTGACAATATTAGAATCTTACCTCCGAGGCTCTGAATGAGAACTTCTGGACTGAATGGCAGCTAAAGCATCAACTGCACTACTGACTGCATTAATAGCCTCCAGGGCTGATGTGAAAGGACTACTAGATGATGTTGTTGTAGGGAGACTTGGTGGATCTGAAATATTAAAGGCAGACAACAGTAAAAATAAGCATCATTTTTGCTATCTAATTCTCATATTTTCAGACTTAGCATTACAACCATGATTTTAATTTTATATCAGTGGCTATTATCACCAAAAAATATTACATTAAGAATCACTTGATAGTATTATTTATCAACAAATGGAGTAAATTCAAAATTATTGTTCACATTTATCATTGCAATTGATGGATAATAGCCAAAATGTGACATTATTGCACTTTCTGGAAATGCTGAATACAAATAAGGCTTTCAAAATTCAAAATCATTTTTTCTGAAAGCTATCTTCTTGCCACCAAGGCCCCTCTGAAATATTGACTTATTATCTTAATAGTAACAGTGTATAATTATATTTACCTGCGTCATAATCTTTATTTGAAGTTGGGACACACATAGCCACACATGTATGGATAATATTTCTGTTGCCATCACAGTGCTCATGTAATATATCCTTCAACTGATTCTGACCACCCTGAGTATCTGCACACAAAAAAAATATGTAAATATACATATTGGTACTTCTTTTAAATATACAAATGTGTTCTTTTGTAAGTTATTTTTTTCAAAAACTCAAAAAATTATCAATGAATTTAATACACAGCAATATAAATTAAAACAAGAATGTGTCCATAGTACATGGATGCCCCACTTGCACTATCATTTTCTATGTTCAGTGGACCGTGAAATTGGGGTCAAAACTTTAATTTGGCATTAAAATTAGAAAGATCATATCATAGGGAACATGTGTACTAAGTTTCAAGTTGATTGGACTTCAACTTCATCAAAAACTACCTTGAACAAAAACTTTAAGATGAAGCTGGATAGATGGACGAACGGACGCACAGACCGAAAAAACATAATGCTCCTCGGTGGGGCATAAAAAGAAATTTTGTTGAAAAGTGGGTGGGAAACAAAATAATCTAAATGCATTAAATTTCAAAAGTGGAGAAAGAAACATTCTAAAAAATGAAAATAAATTTGGAATGAATAATTACTGTGTTCTTGTTCTAATGTTGACAGGATTGTCTTGACCTTCTCTAAATCACAGCGTAAAATGTGTTGTATCAATGTTTGATGCTGGAATATAAAAGCAGTTGTGTCATATTGTTTATTTTAAAATTACTAACAAGATCAGTATAGTAATAATCAGATGTATTAAAGTCAATTATTTTCTATTGTAAGTTATTAAGAACTAAACTAAGTTTACTTAAATTCTTAAATACTGTAAATTCAGAAATTATTGCGTGCATTTATTATTGCCGTTTTGTCATTTGAGACTAAAATGTGATTTAAATTTTTGCGATATTGAGGAAAATCCTGTTTAATTCATATAAAAAATTTCAAAATGCCAGTTTAAATTATTGCGATTATAACCCTGTAGCATTTTTGCAATAATAAAAACATCGCAATAATTTCTGAATTTACAGTATTTTAAGATTATTTTTTATTCTCTATAAATAAGACTAAGGTCTGGAATCTATGAATTAATAAATAATAAAGGATATGATAGTACCCTTTTATGAAAAAAGTGAAACATTTTCTCTTTCTATTGGAATACTGCCCTTTGGAAAAATAAACTGGACATATTTTTTTTCTGTTTATCTCTGATGTACGCAAGATTTAAATTGTTTTCAAACCTGATTTATGAAACGAAGAAAAAAACAAACAAATAGAAGTTCCTTTTCTGTAAACACTTTACAACTGTACAAGATAAAAGTTCAAAATTTTCCCACCATTCACTTTTCAAAATGGCTACCTACCTCAACAGCCAGTACAATGACAGCTGCTTTGTTTTTCTGATTTAGTATGGTATTGGTAAGTCCCTGGACCCTCATTCCAAGGCATCTGATTGGTGGGAGGTTTAACCACATGGGATCACGTATCCCATCATTACAATCCTTGGCAAGAGGATATATAGCACCATTACCATCTCTCAGCTGGACTAGAAGTTCCTGATAAAAAAAAATGTAAAATTTAAAAATAAATCCTGCTATTAAAGCTGATCACAGAATGAAGTCTACCTGTCAGAGTGAATTTAATAATTGTTTATAAAAACTAGATTCTACATCACACATGTTTTGCACTTTGCTATATATATTTTGACAGATTTTTTTTGGAAATTTCATGTTTGGCTGAAAAGGTTTGAAAAAATTAAATTCACTAAATAAACTTCTTTCTTCTTTTTTGAAAATGCATCTTTTTTTTAGCAATGACTCTTACTTTAAAGTTATGAATAATGGAGATGTGCAATTAATGTTAAAAAGTCAGCAATCCATTTCAAGATAACCAAAACTACAAAAGCTATAGTCCACTTACATCTCCTGTGTTGTGGAGGGTGATATCACTCCGGAGACTTCCCATGAATGCTTGTGTATCTGTTGGGAATGGTGCATCTTGGTCTAGCTTTCCAGTCGTTAAATTGTAGACCATGTAACTAAGTTTAGATCCTGACCGAGCTATTACATGTATTCCTGAAAATAGAATAAATTAACAAGTTACATGTGAGTGAAGAATGATGAGAGTCCTAGCTAGCCCAAAACAGAGGGGCACAGCTCCTCTGCAATTTTTGTGCAACCCTCTGCCCTTCTATGATTTTTTGATTTTTTTAGGATTTGGAGTTAGTTTACAGTAGTCACCTTAGTGATTCTGATTTCAATGGTGAACAATTTTAACAATAGCTGCTGATAAAATTCAAATTAACTGATTGGATGCATGATAATTGATGAAAGACTTAACAATGATTCAGCTGTAACAAACCTTTAGAGTCCAAAGCTACTGCAAGCCTTTTGAGTCCAAAGCTACTGCAAGCAGTTGAACTTTTTTGTATCAAGAGGTTTTTTATTGTTTGTTTTCAAGGTCTTGAAACCAATCAAGTGGACCATGAATCAGTTTCATGTATAGTCACCTGAATTAAGCTGTTTCACCTGAGTGAATCTGATTTAAATACTAGACAGAAATATTAACAACAGCTGTTAATAAAATTCTAAGCAAATTGAACTGTTGCATGAAAAATGATAAACAGATAAAAAGGTTTAAGCTGTACTAACCTTCAGAATCTACAGCTACTGCCAATATCTGACCATTCTCTGATAATGTCACTTTCTTTGGGGTTTTCTGGAAGCAATCTGGCAAGCGTGGGGCATTTACACTTTTCACCACCTGCAAAAGAAATCTAATATTTCTAAGTCTGTCTACAATTATACTAAATTAATTTCACCTGATCAGTTATGGAAAAGTTAATAGTTATTTTATCATCTTCAAATGTTTGACTTCAATCTTGATTGATATGGATTGCCTTTTTCCCTTCTGAAGTTCAACGGTTCCTTCCAAGTACTCTAACAGGTCTTGGAGTAGAGTAGATAGGTAATTGTAGATAGATAGATCAATTTTTATTGGTCATCACTCACCTGTAAATCATCTTTCCTTAGTAATCTGCAATCTTGGAGCAGGGTTGTTAGATCATCTTTGCTGGGCTGTTCATCTTTTGTCTGAAATTTGACAGCTGCATAATCTCCATCAACCTAAATAAAATAGAATTTGAAAAATTAACATATCAAAACACCTGGCCTTGCGGTCATAAAACTTTTGAGCATGATTATCGTACTCAGACTCAGAAATCAACCAATCAAAATACAGGATTTGGTGTTTCGAGCACAAATTTTGTACTCCGAGTACTGAGTACAGTTTTTTGACCGAGGACCCTGTATTCCACAAATAACAATCTTTCAACAGTCTACTTCATAGTTCCTCATATAATTTTAAATGTTTCGCTTTCATCAATGTTTTGAATATTTCAAAATAAGAAATCTTGAAAGATAATCATCTGACAAAAACTGATTGTTTTATTCCATTGCCAATATATGAGAGCAGGGCATAAGGAATAAGTTGCCATGATAGCCTTTTGTAATTACATGACTAAGACCTTCTAAAACAAACACTAATCAATCAATCATAACAATTGATTATTTTCTTTGACTAGTTATTTTATCACTGGATAACCTAATAAAAGGAATTAAAACGTGAATACATGTACTAGGATTTGAAACTTGAAAAACATGTATTTTAGCAATGTCTCTGTATTAACTTGCACCTGTGTTCTAGAATGTATAGTTGTAAAAGCGTTATCCAATAATTTCACTCAAACTACTGCATGTAATGCTAGGGGACAAGTTTTGCTCTAAAAATTATGAAATTTAAACTGTGCAAAAATAATTGACTAAACAGTATTTTTCAGCAAGAAACAAACCAATGTTGAAGCCTTCCTGTGAGTGTAGTTTGATATAAGTACCAAACACTCAACACAATATCTACTCAAGGTTTTACCTTTACAACTTTGCCAACAGGTACAGTTTTGACATCTTCCACAAAGATGACATTCTTAAGTGGCCATGCTTCTTCATCTTTCTTTTCAAACTCCTTAATAGGTGTTGGGGCTTTCTTTCTTTCTGTAAATAAAACAAGTTCAACATATTTATCATGAAATCTTGATTAAATTATCTTGTTTTACTTTAAATGAATGCTTGATTTTTCTTTCTTTCTTATAAGTGTGCAATTCACTATATCTATTGTTTCTTTTACAGCTAAGGGCTGTTCAAGACTTAAATGCAGGAGGGGAGGGCGCTTTTTCAGACCCAACCATATATAACATAAAATTTTCATTTTACTTACAATTCTAACAAAATTTTATAGAAAATGCAACCACTCACAATTTATTAATTTGAATGCCTCTCATCCCCCCTTAGGTTTAAGTCTGACACAGCCCCTATCAAGTCAGTGTTTCAGCAAGGATTTGAAAACGGCAAAGTGTTAATCTAAAAAAGTGAACTTAGGAATGTAAAATGACTTCGGAAAAGGGAACTTTATCACATAGCTAAATAGACAATAAGCACTTGAGTGCATGAACTGAATGCAAAGAAGAAAACAAATTGATTGAACATTGTAGAAAGAGTCTGGTGGAGGAAGAAAAGGGAAAGGTTGGCTTAGTGAGGGGTTGATGGACCTTTCTTGGGACATCAGGATTGGGCTTTTATTTTTGTGGGACTCACCTATCAGGACTCCGGAATTAATGATCAATTTTTTGAGATCTGGGAAAGAATCTATTTTTTCATGTTTTTTTTTCTAAGAATTTGTGATGACACCCCCTCCCCAATCAACAGAAAATTTTCTATACTTACTAAGAGATGCTGGACTGACTAGAGATGTTCCACTGTGGTCACTACAGGTAGAGGAATCTGGTGAAGGAGGAGGAGGCATGTCTGGTTTACTTTCAGGTGGTCTGACCTCCATTTTAGGCTCAGGTTTTAATTCACTGAAATATCAATAAAAATATAGATATTTTTTTTACAACGAATTCATTAAGGGAAACAGCTTTGAACTTTGGCATACTGTTTTCATGCTAATTAATCTTTTCATTTACTGTAAATTTAGAAATTTTGAATGCACTTACATGTATAATTGCAACTGTTGAATGTTAGATAAACATTTTTTGCACTTTCTGAAAATGTGGAGACAATTTGTAAAACTTAACAAATTTGAGTTCATTTATATGTTTTGGAGTTTAGTGTGTCGTCCATTTTCTGCTGTTTGGTCGGGTTGTTGTCTCTTTGACACATTCCCCATTTCCTTTCTCAATTTTATTAATAAATTTTTTTTTTGCTTTAAATCTGTAAACATGGTAAAAGCCAAACAGATAAAGGATAAGCAGACCCTTTAAGACAAAACAACTGACTACTTCAAAAACTTTGGCTATATCCTCATACATTCGAACTGAGGTACAAAAAATTATTTTCTTTCTTTCTTTTTTTAAGCTCTCCGACATATTCTTCTAATTACAACTTATAACTAAAAGAAAAAGAATTTAAAATACTCACCTAACAATGCTTTTAAGAATTTTAAATCGACAAGAATCATTAAGTGACCAGGCTGATTCCAGAAGCTGACCAACTTTAGGTACTCCATCAACTGAGGTAAAAGCTAGAGCACCGATATGGTACATAGGAGAACTGCGCAGACAAACTAATGATCCAGTCATTACGTCACTAGAACTAAATGTTGAGAATGAAGATGTGTCCTTGCTCTTTTTCTTCTTTGTTCTTGTTCTTTCGACCATTTTCTTTCTCTGACCAAATGGCATCACACCCCTAAAATTGAATATTTTAAAACTTTTATCTTAAATCTTTTTAGATAAAAATAGGAAAAAATCAGATGCTAAGTACCAGCTGTTTAGTTGATGTTACCACAACTTACTGTAAATCAAAACTTTAACCTGATATGGGACAGACAGATGAACACAGACCAGGAAACATAGTGCTACTCTTCTATCATAGGTGGTCCATCAAAAGCACACTTCAGTGTATTGGAAATGTATTGGTCTTTGATACAATGAAATAAAGAATAAGTTTACACAAGCTTATATGAGTGAATTATTTTTTTATCTTTTAATCTTTTTTTTACAGTATTTGTAGATGAAATGCTCATCTGGCATACAAAATTACAAGCCTGATATCTTTGATAAGTTTTTTTCCATCTCATTTCTTACATGTTGTCCTTTTATCAGAAGTCACTGTAATGCTTAAGTTCAAGCATGTTGTTTATCTTTAAAGTTCTTTCCGACTTCCATCTTATTCAGGGCTATTCCATTAAAATGTATATGGGAGGGTATTAGGAAGGGACTTTCAAAATATCCCTACAACCAAGAACCATTTTTTTAGATAATTTTGCATAATGGTAATAGATGCATACTGAAAAAAGACCCATGACCAACATTCAATAATTAATCTTCCCTTCCTACCCTCCAACATACATTTTAATGGAATAGCCCTCAGTATTTATTGATGGAGATAGCCTGAGTACCAAGAGAGAGCCACTGATCTTCAGCAGCAAAACTGGCAATCCTATTCAATTATTAAAGATAATTGTTTCATTTGCACCTGTCTCAAGCAGGGTCAAACTCACAACCTCAATATTGAAAGGCAAATAATCATAAAAGATGAACTACTTAGATCACTTGGCCACTGAGGTCCATTCATATAATGAAGACACCACTTACCACCAATACAACCCGCCACTTTCCAACCTGGCACATGTATACAGAGAACATGTATGAAGGGAGACTATTTTGTCTGTGAGGAATTCTGGGAAGGTCTGTACTGCATGTTCAAGCTTGGATGCTACTTTGTTGAGAGTTTCATCAACCCATGTTGCCACACGGTGAGTCTCTGTGAACACTGATGCCCGTACATTGCATGCTGACATGCCAATAATTTTCTCGTGCTGTAGACCGAGTTGAACTACTTTTGGGTGACGTATATTTGGATTCTGAAAAAATGATATAAATTTTGACAATAGTTATAAAAATATTAAACCTTTATCATTTTAGGTATGCAATATTCTAGGTTACAAATACACATACAGCAAACTTATTTAGAAAAATTATAACTTTTCTTGAAGTTGTAAAGAATTGCACCAGCTACCTGTAGATTATCGGGTTTTCTACATACTGATATCGTAGAAATTTAAGCATTGAGCCACAATGTGAACGTTTTTGGTTTTTGGCGAGTGAGCCCAGCAAACGATCTAAACAACTTCACATTGTGTTGACATTTTACGATATATCTTTTACATAGAAAACCTGATAATCTGTTTATCATTCTATTACTGGTCTTTTCCCCCTCCATTAGACAGTTTTACTCAAGACGAAATGAATTTGCAGTATTTGAATGCCAAGGGCAAGATCATCAACGTCTTTGCTTTTCAAATACTGTGGATTCATAATTTTTCATGGATTACTATTTTCACTGGTCATGCTGGTATTGATAGTAAAGGTCTTCAACAAAATGTTAGTTTTTTTATAGACTTGTATGCACAATTTCTCAAAACCACAAATCAAGTATCCACAGAAAGGGAATTTTCCCACAATCTACAAATATTGGTACCAACAAAAATAACTAAACTGACAGTATGTCACTCTTTTTGTGTGTTGCTGCCTTATTGACAAATAACCCATAACCACATCTACTTTTATTCAAGCAATCTTTATAAAAGAATAAAAGGAGGACTCTCTGCTGACAGGTAATTTTTGATCATCTGGCAAATCCACCCATTATCTTAACATAACAATGTCAAATGAACAGATTTTCCAGATGAACAAATTGCAGGCCAACATCATACCTGTGGGATTGTGCCTGATATTCATATGATGAAGACATAATCTTTCAATCAGTTTAATTGAGGTCTGGAGCTGGCATGTCAGTGACTGCTAGTAGTCTGTTGTTATTTATGTATTATTGTCATTTTGTTTACTAGTATTTTCTTTTGTTTCCTATTCTGACATCTGACTCAGTCTTCTCTTAAACTGAGTTTTACTGTGCGTACTGTTGTACATTTGTTTTTCTACATTGGCTACAGGTATAGTGGAGGGTTGAGATCTCAAAAAACATTTTAACCCTGCCGCATTTTTGCGCCTGTCCCAAGTCAGGAGCCTCTGGCCTTTGTTAAGTCTTGAATCATTTTTAATTTTAGTTTCTTGTGTATAATTTGGAGTTTAGTATGACGTCCATTATCACTGAACTAGTATACATATTTGTTTAGGGGCCAGCTGAAGGACGCATCCGGGTGCGGGAGTTTCTCGCTGCATTGAAGACCAATTGGTGGCCTTCGGCTGTTGTCTGCTCTATGGTCGGGTTGTTCTCTCTTTGACACATTCCCCATTTCCATTCTCAATTTTATGCAAGTTTCCTAGTCAGCTATTGGGAGAGTTACAATGTCAAGGTCAATCTTACCTCAGGATGTCTATATGGTTCTGATTCATTCCATTTCCAGCTGTACAGGTTACCATTAGTTCCTACACAAACCAGTTCTGAGTGCATGGCAGCAATATGAGAAAATCTACCAGAACTTCCATCCTACAATTTATACAACAATTTAGATGAGGGCTATTCCATAAAAACTTACCCAGGGAATGCATTTCAAAATCTGAACTATCGGTCAGTGTCAAACATTTTTTTGTTCAGTAAAAATGTTAGTGAAATTCTAAAATTGCCTCTACAGGTTGTAAACCAAGTTTCAGTGTCCTGGGATAAACAGACCTTTCAAAACAAATTTGAATGAATCACAGTAATTTTATAAAATATTTCTTGGATTGGATTGTAAAGCAGTGATTTTCGTGCCTGAATAATAAATATTCGAATTAATTGATACAAGCTCAATTCAACATTTAGCTGCATAAAAAGGTTTAGGTCTTGGACAAAACATACAACTGCAGCAGCAGTGCCTACAAATTAAAACTTTTATTTTCTAAAGTTTAAAACAGGGAATATGAATATTTCACAAAAACAGTCTTCCTATGAAAAAACATATTTGAAGACCAAAATCATGAAAATTGTTAGGATTTTTTGAAATATATATATAATTAGCCAGATTTCATGAACTAATAGTTTCTTTGGACAGTTCAATAAATCTCAAAATAAAATAAAATGGAATCAAAAGTGACCAATTGGATTTTTTTTTACAAAATGATTTAGCCACTTTATTAAGAGATCAGATGATGACTAAATTTAAAGAATTTTAAAAATGAAAATTTACTCTAATCTATTCCTGTATATTACCCTTTCAGTAAAGAACTGTAACTCTTCACCAAAGTTCAGTGGACTATCTGTTGGCTGTCTCTGTTTCTTCAATCCATCAGCGTCTAAACTGTCAGTCTTCCCACGATCCAATGCTTTCATGGCTTCCTCTCTCAAAGTGGTATCTAGTCTACGTCGCTCTCGGATTCTAAAAATGGATTCTCTTTCTCTAGATCTATCTAAATCCACATCTCTATCACCTATAAAATTGAATAATCAGATTAGATTTAAGTAGATTAGATACCAACTGTGTGAGACCCTCACGAGTAACTCAAGGTCGTTAAACCCCCCTGTAGTAGATAAGGTATCAACATTTAAATAGACCTCCTGTGAATTCATTTATTTCCATGGGTACCAATTATTGTGCATTGGTTTCACAACCCTGAGAAAGGTAAATCCAGAAAAGCACTTCTGACCCACCAATATTATAACTTGTTGTTTTCATTTATTGAGTCACCTTGTGTGAAATGTACTGTACTGTGAAAGAGAAACTATTTATGGTTAGTAAGATGTCCTACCTAATCTAGATCGTGTTCCAGAACCACGGCTCCTTAGAGTAGAATAATAACCGAACACATCTTCATTGTACATGGCATCTGCATCAATGATTACACCAGGGTGGTCAGAGTGCATACCACTATCCAATAAAGACATGAGATCATCAGGCATATAAGATTCCTGGCTGTCGTCATCGTTATCTTCACCCTCGTCATCACGACTCAGTAAGTTGTTCACAGCAAGATTTACATCCAGATTCTGAAAACAGTTAATTAATGTATCATATCATTGTGTGATTAAAAGTTCAGAGCTGCACCATAAAAACATACATAGGATCAAGGGAAGGAATTTCTATCCTTTAACATGTGCAAAGAAAATGTAAGCGAAGTTCTAAAATGCCTCTATAGATGGTTACCAAAATTATAAAGTCCCATATCTTGGTACCATATATGTTTTAATTGAACAGCCCTTACTAGTTTTATACATTAAAGATTCATTTAAGGTTTGAAAATATATACCATAGCAAATAAAACTTTTATTCTAAAATTCAACCTGAACAAATATCTTGCTAGCGTCATGTGATTGAATTATCTTAATGACACTGACTGGCAATACATGATAGTTTTTGTGGGAAAAATTCAGTTTTTATGTTATTTATTAAATACTGGTGGAAATATTCAAAAACACAAAAAGAAATGACCAACAAATGTCTAAGAATTCAAGTTAGGGTTTTGTTCTTTAAGTGTGTGGGCAGTTCCATTGCAATAGATGTGGGAAGATGGGAAGGGACTTCCAAAGTCCCTACCAAAAGAATAAAAAATATCAGTTTTTAATCTATGCATATAATGAAAATACCCCAAAAAATTATTCCTGACCAATGTCTAAAAATATAAAACATTCCTAGCTTCCCAAATCCTTTTTAACTGAATAGCCTTGGTATTATAAGTTCATTTATAACATGTATAAAGACTTTTAAAAAACGTAAAAATATAAATATATAATAAATATTAGTTCAGCAAATAGGAAGTAGGTGACTGACAGATCTGAAAAGTTCTCACATGTTACACCTTATCAATGTCAAGGAGATTACCATGCATGAAATTGTTCTGTTTTGTGGTTCCTGATAAAAGTATGATGGATATATGTATTGGAGAAACAGACTGACAAGATGATTAGAGTGGGGTATAATTTGACAAGATATGTACATTGCATGTAATCAAGTTCTGATAGAAGAGGAGTATGAATGAAATAGCAAAGAAAGACATATGTGGATTCATTATTACTCCATACCAAATTTTGTGGATATCGTGGGTATAGATTAACCACAAATTTAATCATTCAACAAATTACAAAGTACAAATTTTCTATAGGCTTGTATATATGTATATGCAGGCGTTGGCAAAACCATGTAATCAAATATTCATGAAAACAAAATTTTTCAATTTTTCTTCAATTCATATTTGGTATCCACAAAAATAAATGAATCCTCAGTAATTGATTTAGAGATTCATTTTGTTTTGAATACATCATTTACGAACTCCTCATGATGAGTTATGGGTTTGTTATGTCCAGAGAGTTGGAGCACATAGGTTTAAATTTGATGTCCTCTGTCCAGAAAGTTGGAACATACAATTGGAACACATAGGTTTAAATTTGATGTCCTCTATCCAGAAAGTTGGAACATAGAATTATAACACATAGGTTTAAATTTGATGTCCTCTGTCCAGAAAGTTGGAACATAGAATAGGAACACATAGGTTTTAATTTGATGTCCTATGTCCATCCAGATAAAGTTGAGATGAGAATTTGATTGAACTTACTGTCCTCTGTAATTCTCTGATGATTAAGTTCCGTGACTTCCCTTGTAATACAACTTGACACTGAAAATACAAAAAATACCACACATTTTCACTTTTATAATTGATTTTGATGGAAGCTTCATCAAATGGGAACTTATCCCTATTGATACACTACAGCTAATGTAGAGTTTGCTATTACCACCTGCCCATTTCTGTCCAAAAAAAAATCCAACATAGATTTATATAAAAATATTAAATTAAAAATCTTGACTAATATTTCCTTTTGTATTGAAGATTCAATTCTTATAATGAAAGAAAAAATTGATGTCAAATTTAATGGATAGGCACAGGGGACTTTTGAGAAGTGTTGTCCACTCTTCGCCCATTCCCACTGTGGATGGAAGGGAATAACAAAATCTGCCTGGGCTGTAGAGTATGTGTAAATATTGTTAAACATAAAAGTAGTATAGTAACTGTTACCTTAGAAGGTCAACACAATGACCAGGATATTTGGACATATGATTTTTACCTGACTAATTAACTCTTCTGGAACAACAGAGGCCGGGACCATAGGCCTTGTGCCAACTATAACCCCTGACCTTCGACCTCGTCCAACATGGGCAGATCTCTGCATCTGACGACTGAATGCTTGTTGAGCTCCTGAACTTCCACTGGTACTCCTGGTTGTAGCAGCAGCTCCGGTCACAGTACTTCCCCATCGCCTGTAAACAATCAACAAATTTATATTGAAAATTATTAACAATACCAACATTAGTTTTAAAAAAAATACAAAACAATTTTTTCTCTTTAACATAAACAAATATACAGTTTGCTTAAACATTGTTAAATGATCATACAAATTTGCCCCCAGAGAAGTAAATGAAGCAAAAAAAAAAAACCAAAGAAAGTATCAATGGACTCACCTTTTGTAAATAAATAAAATAAAATGCTTCGCTGGGGCGCAGCTTGATACGACCGCAGAGGTCGAACCCTGAACAGTTGGGGCAAGTATGGACACAACATTCAAGCTTGATACAGCTCTGAATTTGGATTGTTATTAAATATTTGACACAGCATAGGTTTCTGACACAGAAAGAATGTGGTCTAAGAACTTGAATTTTTTTAATTTACCTATTATGGTCCAATGTCCAAAATCAAAATACATGGTTAGATTCAGCATATCAAAGAACCCCATATATTCAATTTTTGTTAAAATCAAACAAAGTTTAATTTTGGACCCTTTGGACCTTAATGTAGACCAATTTAAAAAACGGGACTTAAAATTAAAAATCTAAATACACGGTTAGATTTGGAATATCAAAGAACCCCAATAATTCAATTTTTGATGAAATCAAACAAAGTTTAATTTTGGACCCTTTTGACCTCAATATGAACCAATTTGATAGCGGGGCCCACAAATAAAAAATCTAAATTCATGGTTAGATTCAGCATATCAAAGAACCCCATATATTCAATTTTTGTTGAAATCAAAAAAAGTTTAATTTTGGACCCCAACTTGGACCAACTTGAAAACTGGGCCCATAATCAAAAATCTAAACACATGTTTAGATTCAGCATATCAAAGAACCCAAAGAATTCAATTTTTGTTAAAATCAAACTAAGTTTAATTTTGGACCCTTTGGACCTCAATGAAGACCAATTTAAAAAACGGGACCCAAATTAAAAATCTAAAAACACGGTTAGATTTGGCATATCAAAGAACCCCAATAATTCAATTTTCGATGAAATCAAACAAAGTTTAATTTTGGACCCTTTTGACCTCAATATGAACCAATTTGATAGCGGGGCCTACAAATAAAAAATCTAAATACATGGTTAGATTCAGCATATCAAAGAACCTCATATATTCAATTTTTGTTGAAATCAAACAAAGTTTAATTTTGGACCCCAATTTGGACCAACTTAAAAACTGGGCCCATAATCAAAAATCTAAATACATGTTTAGATTCAGCATATCAAAGAACCCCATATATTCAATTTTTGTTGAAATCAAACAAAGTTTAAATACTGGACCCTATCTTGGACCAACTTGAAAACTGGGCCCATAATCAAAAATCTAAACACATGTTTAGATTCAGCAAATCAAAGAACCCCAAGAATTCAATTTTAGATGAAATCAAACAAAGTTTAATTTTGGACCCTTTTGACCTCAATATGAACCAATTAGATAACGGGGTCCACAAATAAAAAATCTAAATACATGGTTAGATTCAGCATATCAAAGAACCCCATATATTCAATTTTTGTTGAAATCAAACAAAGTTTAATTTTGGACCCCAATTTGGACCAACTTGAAAACTGGGCCAAAAATCAAAAATCTAAATACATGTTTAGATTCAGCATATCAAAGAACCTCATATATTCAATTTTTGCTAAAATAAAACAAAGTTTAATTTTGGACCCTTTGGACATTAATGTAGACCAATTTGAAAACTGGACCCAAAATTAAAAATCTAAATACACTGTTAGATTCGGCATAACAAATAAATAAATGTGATCAAAGATTTTACAAATCTAATGCGCCATACTGTGCAATTAAAGATTACTTCTTGAAATTTTTCAATATTTGAAATTTGAAAAAAAAATAATATTTGAAGAATAATTCTTTTTAATTTCTGAAATCTGAAATGAGAAAAAATTGGCCCCCCACAATTTCTTTTTATCCCCCCCCCCCCTTTTTCCCCCCAAAAAATTCTTTCCCTCAAGATATGGTCATAATCTCAATTCAAATTTCCAATGGAGTTGGCAACCATAATTACCCATTTAAATTTACCATAGTGCTAACTTAATCTATTTTATAATAGAATTAATAAAAATATAGTGTCAAATCTTTCATATGGATTTTTTTGTAAAAAAAAAAGATGAAAACATTTGCAGATATTTTTACTGGTCTTCCTTTATAAATATGCATTTCTTTAAACATAATTTAAAAGCAGTGTAAGGGAAGTAACCAAAACATTGTATTTGGATTACCTCCCTTACACTGTTTTAGATTATCTTTATTGTTCATTAACCATTACTTTATACATAATTTAAAAGCAGTGTAAGGGAGATAATTTCAATGATGTATTTGATTTATCTCCCTTACACTGCTTTAAATTATGTTTTGTACTAAAGTATTTGTCCATTAACCAGGACAACCTTGTTTTTCCCCCTTTTTTGCCCCTAATTCCTAAACGGTTTGAGCCATAACCCCCCAAAGCAAATCCTAACCATCCCTTTGTGGTATGGAAACTTGTAGTATAATTTCAGAGAGATCCATACACCGTTCCACAGTTATTGTCTGGAAACTAGAAAATGCTCATTTTTGGCCCCTTTTTGGCCCCTAATTCCTTAACTGTTGGTACCATAACCCCCAAAATCAATCCCAACCTTCCTTTTGTGGTATTAAACCTTATGGTCAAATTTCAAAAAGATCCATTCACTTAAACTAAAGTTAGAGTGCGAAAACCAATATGTATTCGGACGACGACGACGACGACGACGCCAACGTCATACCAATATACGACCACAAAATTTTTTTGCGGTCGTATAAAAATGTCATTAAGATTTCTGAAACACAGTAAACTCACCCAGTACTCTGTTCAGCCCCTGATCCAAGTATATCTGATACTAAAACCATAGGACTTTCTACAATTAAGGTTCCACCACCTCTGGATGGAGCTGTTCTTTCACTCCTATCTCTCTTTATGGTCCTGGGTATAAAAAAATTGAAAAGCAATGATAAACACAACTAACGCTCACTTCACATTATAAAACACGAGACCTGGTTTATCATATACTACTGTGGATAACTACTTTTTGTCGGGTAACAATTTTGATGGATTTAGTCGTTATAGGTAAACCACAATGTTAAATGTTCAATGAAGTACACATTTTCTGGAGATTTTGGCAACATCAAATATACACGAAAACATAATTTTCCCCGAACCTTGCAAAAGCTGGTAAACACAAAAATAAATGAATCCATATCATAATATCTTATTTTTTACATAATGAGATGTACATGTACAAACTTCAACTCGTTGTTGTTAACTTGATGTACAGCAGCAAATATTACATGCATATTCAAGCCATTCAATATTCAAAAGTACAAATGATGTGGGGTACACATCACAGACAGCTACCCCAGTACCAGAACTTTATGTTCTATTATCATATCAGGCTCTATTGAAACCACCACAACTTGAAAGAATCTATTTCTTTGATGCCCAGAGGTATATGCCTCATGTGTGTTTACTAATCACAAACTTTAAACAATTGTTGACATACTGGCAACAACAGTCACAGGAAAAGCCTGTTGTAATTCAAGAAAATTGCATACAAGACTGAATGAGAAGATACAGTACAAAGTGTGACATAGTCTGAAAAATGCTGGGCATCTTTTGTTGGTCTGACATGCTGGGCATTAACATTTTTTGTAGTTACTGATTCTAAATGCAGATGTATTTTTCTGTAGATTGGCAGATTTTATTCCACAAGTACATGTGTAAGGGTACAATAGCTGAATTCATATGCATATCAGATGTGACACTTATATTTTTCAGACAAGGAGTTATCAGGAATTCATAGCAGTTCCATACTGACACCTAACACTGCCTTAACCCTATACTTAACGCCTGCAACATTATAAGAATAACATAATATACATACGTTTTGGTGTCTGATTTGTTAAGATCAAGCTTATCTGTCACAATACTGAATGGAATTCTGCAAACTCTACCATCCTGAAAAATAATAAGCAACATTTATAACATTGATTGCGTTTTTTTTTCTAACCCAACAATTCAGTCATTATATTCTGCTTATCTTCCATTGCTCCGTTAAAGCCTAGTTAATGAATAATCATCAACCAATCATTATGACTTAACTCACGATTCACTTATCATTATTATCTCTATATAATTTAGCTGCCAATTGATTGGCCTCACAGTTTCGTGATGCATTTAAATAGTATCAAAATTGAGGCAGATGGATTATAGGGTGGTAACATTTTATTATGCTATTTTAATTTCACTTTTCCGACATGTGCTGAACATTCATTTATATTCTATAGCATTTTGTATAAACTTCTTTCAACCCATTATACCTGGATGTTTTGATTTCTAATGCTTTATATTTAAATGTCTATTACTGCCACCTAACAAATGTAGGCAATCTCAGGCCTTCTATAAACTTTTACCCATCTACTGGTAAGTACCACCTGAATTGTGGAATTTTTATTAAAGGTATTCATGAAATATGTAGAAAAGTACCAGTCAAAATTGAAAGATAATGTTACCCTTATATCCCATGAACATTTAACCTCCGATTGAGTTAAAATGTTAAATATAAAAAAATATAAATAAACCCATTTTACCAAAACAACTGAACATTTAGCAAACAACAATCAATCAATCATAAATCCAATGATCCTATTAGGAAAGAAAAGAAGTGCCATGTCTTCTCCAGAGTACCATGAATACCATCTACAAGTTTTTTAAACTCTCTACCAACTGAGTTGGAGTATGCAGGCCTCTACAATAACTTTTTTTTCAACTTGCCCAATAGGACAAGTACATACCAAAACTTTTTTGTCCAAATGGAATTGTAACTTGTCCAAAAAAAATAAAATGCTTCGCTGGGGCGCAGCTTGATACGACCGCAGAGGTCGAACCCTGAACAGTTGGGGCAAGTAAGGACACAACATTCAAGCTTGATACAGCTCTGAATTTGGATTGTTATTAAATATTTGACACAGCATAGGTTTCTGACACAGAAAGAATGTGGTCTAAGAACTTGAATTTTTTTAATTTACCTATTATGGTCCAATGTCCAAAATCAAAATACATGGTAAGATTCAGCATATCAAAGAACCCCATATATTCAATTTTTGTTAAAATCAAACAAAGTTTAATTTTGGACCCCAACTTGGACAAACTTGAAAACTGGGCCCATAATCAAAAATCTAAACACATGTTTAGATTCAGCATATCAAAGAACCCCAAGAATTCAATTTTTGCTAAAATCAAACTAAGTTTAATTTTGGACCCTTTGGACCTTAATGTAGACCAATTTAAAAAACGGGACTTGAAATTAAAAATCTAAATACACGGTTAGATTTGGAATATCAAAGAACCCCAATAATTCAATTTTTGATGAAATCAAACAAAGTTTAATTTTGGAACCTTTTGACCTCAATATGAACCAATTTGATAGCAGGGCCCACAAATAAAAAATCTAAATTCATGGTTATATTCAGCATATCAAAGAACCCCATATATTCAATTTTTGTTGAAATCAAAACAAAGTTTAATTTTGGACCCCAACTTGGACCAACTTGAAAACTGGGCCCATAATCAAAAATCTAAACACATGTTTAGATTAAGCATATCAAAGAACCCCAAGAATTCAATTTTTGTTAAAATCAAACTAAGTTTAATTTTGGACCTTTTGGACCTCAATGAAGACCAATTTAAAAAACGGGACCCAAATTAAAAATCTAAAAACACGGTTAGATTTGGCATATCAAAGAACCCCAATATTTCAATTTTTGATGAAATCAAACAAAGTTTAATTTTGGACCCTTTTGACCTCAATATGAACCAATTTGATAGCGGGGCCCACAAATAAAAAATCTAAATACATGGTTAGATTCAGCATATCAAAGAACCTCATATATTCAATTTTTGTTGAAATCAAACAAAGTTTAATTTTGGACCCCAATTTGGACCACCTTGAAAACTGGGCCTATAATCAAAAATCTAAATACATGGTTAGATTCAGCATATCAAAGAACCTCATATATTCAATTTTTGTTGAAATCAAACAAAGTTTAATTTTGGACCCCAATTTGGACCAACTTGAAAACTGGGCCCATAATCAAAAATCTAAACACATGTTTAGATTCAGCATATCAAAGAACCCCAAGAATTCAATTCTTGTTAAAATCAAACTAAGTTTAATTTTGGACCCTTTGGACCTTAATGTAGACAAATTTAAAAAAAACAGGACCAAAAATTAAAAATCTAAATACACGGTTAGATTTGGAATATCAAAGAACCCCAATACTTCAATTTTAGATGAAATCAAACAAAGTTTTATTTTGGACCCTTTTGACCTCAATATGAACCAATTTGATAACGGGGTCCACAAATAAAAAATCCAAATACATGGTTAGATTCAGCATATCAAAGAACCCCATATATTCAATTTTTGTTGAAATCAAACAAAGTTTAATTTTGGACCCCGATTTAGACCAACTTCTTGAAATTTTTCAATATTTGAAATTTGAAAAAAAAAAAATATTTGAAGAATAATTCTTTTTAATTTCTGAAATCTGAAATGAGAAAAAATTGACCCCCCACAATTTCTTTTTATCCCCCCCCCCCTTTTTTCCCCCAAAAAATTCTTTCCCTCAAGATATGGTCATAATCTCAATTCAAATTTCCAATGGAGTTGGCAACCATAATTACCCAATTAAATTTACCATAGTGCTAACTTAATCTATTTTATAATAGAATTAAAAAATACTGTCAAATCTTTCATATGGATTTTTTGGTAAAAAAAAAAGATGCAACATTTGCAGATATTTTTACTGGTCTTCCTTTATAGATATGCATTTCTTTAAACATAATTTAAAAGCAGTGTAAGGGAAGTAACCAAAACGTTGTATTTTGATTACCTCCCTTACACCGTTTTAAATTATCTTTATTGTTCATTAACCATTACTTTATACATAATTTAAAAGCAGTGTAAGGGAGATAATCTCAATGATGTATTTGATTTATCTCCCTTACACTGCTTTAAATTATGTTTTGTACAAAAGTATTTGTCCATTAACCAGGACAACCTTGTTTTCCCCCTTTTTTGCCCCTAATTCCTAAACGGTTTGAGCCATAACCCCCCAAAGCAAATCCTAACCATCCCTTTGTGGTATGGAAACTTATAGTATAATTTCAGAGAGATCCATACACCGTTCCACAGTTATTGTCTGGAAACTAGAAAATGCTTATTTTTGGCCCCTTTTTGGCCCCTAATTCCTTAACTGTTGGTACCATAACCCCCAAAATCAATCCCAACCTTCCTTTTGTGGTATTTAACCTTATGGTCAAATTTCAAAAAGATCCATTAACTTAAACTAAAGTTAGAGTGCGAAAACCAGTATGTATTCGGACGACGACGCCGGACGACGACGACGCCGGACGACGACGACGACGCCAACGTCATACCAATATACGACCACAAAATTTTTTTGCGGTCGTATAAAAAAACAACAAATAAACTGTTATATTAACCTTTTTTGCATTTTACGTTGATTCAAGGAACAAAGTGAATTAAAACAATTGAACAGAATTTGATTTATATCTCTTGATATCCTTTTCAAAAATATGAGTCGAGTACAACTGAATCTAGTCATGTCTAGTCACAGGACATAGGTTCTAGTTTTTATCAATGCCAAAGTCTCATCACACTCTGCACATCAGGCAGTCTGGTAGGCTTGTCAGTCTACACTCATTTGTTTTCTATCCTGGTCTTTTATGTTGATAAAATATTGACTTTTAAATAATATTATGATAAATGCCTTACTACATGTACTACAATCAGCTTTGTTTTTAATATATTAAAATTTTAATTCAAACACAGTCGACTTCTATGGTCAATAATTTCTTCATTTTTATTTTTATAATATTTTTGTTCATGTTGTTAAATAAAATTTATCATATCTTTATTATAATGCAACAGAATAACATAGGGAAAGAGGTACTGGTTTGTCTTGGTTCTGAAATGTCTCTAATGGTGCCGAACTGTCTTGTTACCTTATATACAAAGCACACCGCTGTTGGTAAGACTGGTTTCCGAGAATAGTATGCCTTTTATCTGTTATAAAGTATCTGACAAAAAACCAGTTTTTAATTATCGATCGCAAGTAAACATGTCAAATTAATATTTGTTTTTATCTTCTTTTCTTGTTTTTCGTTTATTACTCTGATCATCAAAGTTGGATTTAATTTATTTTCTACAGAATGATTTTACTTGTCCCGTCGGACAAGCTTGATATGGCTTTTACTTGTCTGACCTTTTTTTCCTTTGGTACCTGACAATCAGACAAGCATTATTGTCGAACCCTGGTATATCTATTACACTGTACCTCAAGGAGTAAAGCAATATAAGTTGGTCCAACAACACATTGTGTGACAACAAGATTTCTGATGGCTCTAAATGCTGGTGCACTGACAAAACCATGATGGCTGACTTTCTCTGCAACTTCTCTTAATCTGTAATTAAAAATAATACAACTTTAAAATTTTCTTTCAAATTCTCATGTTATGATTATTGGAAAAATTTGAAATTTGTAATTGTATCTTCTGTAACATTTGAAAAGTACATGAATATCAAAATGAGGAGATAGGGTATGAAATCAATTTATTCTGTAATTTAAAGATTTTCGGTAAAACTTAAACAATGGAAAGATCAATGGCTGTCTTCTTAGAAGTCAATTCTATGGTCAATAAAATCAATCTTCAAAGGAGTCTTTCTATTTACATGTACTACATAAGAATTTTTTGCATGCTTTCTAAGCCAAGGGAAAGTACAAAAAAAATCACATATCAACAGTCTTGTTAGGGCCACAAAGCAAGCAGAATATGCAAGGCGGATTATGGACATGCCCCCCTAGAAAATTTTGCAATTTTGGATGCAAAATCCTACATTCTAAGCATACTAAAAATGGTGTTTAAGATGATGAAAAGATGTTCCATTTCAGCTCTTACTTTGATGTAAAATTATCTGCACCTGTCAAGTAAATACATGTACCAAATGTTCAAACAATGGTAGAGTGTAAAAATCAATTCAGGATTGGATTCAAAACTGCATTCCTGATAGAAGTTTATCATCTGTTTGTCAATTTTAAAGTTATTATGACTGTACTTGTTCTCTGTATTATTTTTATTCTACAAATGTAGTTCGTGAAAAAAAATCAAACCTGAGACAAAACTCGTCCCATTCCACCTGAAAATCCAAGATATTTTCAGCAAATGGGACAACTATACACCGCATTGCCCTAATCAAATTTAACCCAGGGAAACTTGTCAGACCACTTAATTTGAAACTTTCTGCTCCTCTATTCCCTGTCAGAATCATTATCCTTTTGTTTCTTTGAACTTTCATTTGAAATACAGTTTCCATTTATATCATAATCATCCTGTTTTCTTTTTGCAGCTTGAATTAAGAAATATCAAAATATTTATGTTACTTCATTTTCCAAGCGTTTTTCAATATTTGAACAGTTTCCATATTATACACCAGATATCATATATAAGTCTGGAAATTTTAACTAAATACCAAATGGCACACGTGGAACATCGGGACTCGCTGCAGATCAGTAAACACGTAAAAGATATCAAATGCAATGCTCAGAATAATATTATGAAAGTATTTTTACATTTTTAACAAGTAAGAGTGGCAAATTAGTTTATTTTAAAACAAGAAAACTATGTTTCTGTAGGGATATTATGAATGCAATGTCCATTTCCTCTGATATATTTACTTTCTGCTGAGTAACAGGAATTGGAATTTTTATGCTCTGAATAGGCATGACTTTACCTATATTTGATTTCAACAGCTACACCAAATGAATAATTTAATAGTCCCTAAACTAATTAGGCAAAAAAAATGGTATTCAGAATCATCAATTATTAGACATTTATGTTGAAGTGGTTGTTTCATAGTATACATGGTATAAGGAATTTCTAAGAACTACAAAATGTATAATCATGATAAGGGTAAACATAGTTAATTAATTTGGTAACAATGTTGTTCTGAGTTCATATTATACAGACCAGGGAACAAACAGGAGATGTACATGTAAACACTCCCTTGTGGAATTGAAAAAAAAGTTTGATTTCTTCACTTAAATAATATTTCGACATTTTGTAATGAAATGCTGCTGTAAAAATCCAGCGTTATGTTTCTGAGAGTTTGTCGAGAGATTTCATCATATCTTTACGTTGTATAGTTAAAAAAATACTACTTGTGGAAACATTTGAAGCCAAATTAGGCAAACAGCAAAACATAAATAAAAAAATGTGATTACTGAGATAATTTGCAAGAAAAAAATGAAATATAAAAATTGGAGCTCCTAAAAAGACAAAGACCAATACACCTTATCGCTATTTGTCCGCCATTACTGGACATCACACAAGTTCCCGTAAAATTTTGACGTCATAATAGAAAATATCTGACGCCACAATGGAAAAGTGATTGTTGTATGACGTCAAAAGTTCGAGCGGGACTGATTCTCGGGTCAAGCGGGATTAGCGATAAGGTGTATGAAGAAAAAAGAATTCCAAAATTCTTGTCATGAGAAACAGCTTATGTCATTTTCAAATACTGATAAATTCAAAGTTTTGCTATTTGTATAAAATATTTATCTATATTTGAAAACTATATTTAAATATGTATCTTCATGACTATAAGTATAAGAAATCATAGGTCACATTCGTCACTTCAGTCTCAATCATAAAAAATTAAAACCTTTACTGAAAAAAGTATTTGGCCAGTAACAAATTATTTCAGGGCACAAAAGACATATAGTTAACTTTAGCAATATATTTCGATGCGTAATTTACATTGACGTCAGAATACCGTAACGCGTTAAAGAGCACGTTTATTAAATTTTGATCGTTTCTTTTATCTCGAAGTGCCACAGCCTAATTACGAATAAATCAATTACCTATCGTTCAACTGGTCATCTGTTCCAGGTAAAGGATGGACTATACAATGAATGGATGTCATCACGTAATAAAAACGATAAATTATTATCTTTCTACTGGAAATTTTATGAAATTTATTCCGATTTTAAAAGTTAATTGATCTTCGCCATCTTTGAAGTAATTTCCATAAGTTAATTGTTACCTCAAATACGATTGGATAAAACATATTTACTGTCATTGGTTCCGATTGGGTAGTATTTTTATAGTTTTTCGGCATTCAAACTTTCGGATTTGTACTTACCATAAGGCCTGAAAGTTAGAGGTTATTCCGACAACATAGTAAGTAACAGGTGCTTTCAGTTTCAGTTTACTGCATATTCTTTCATAACTCAAGTTACATATGTATTTTTGTTATTTACAAATACTTCATGACACAGGGACATAATTTTCATTTCCAAATTCCACTTCTTATCTTCAAATGTAAATAATCTTCGCTAGAAAGGTGTTAAATATTGGACATATGCTGTTGTTGTCAGTCATTAACATAATTTATAGACATGTCAAGTTGTCAAACGGGAAATCTGGCTAGTTAAGTCTAACATACTTTTTTCGTTTGACTGAAGAATAAGAATTTCCTTCGAATGCAAATCAAAAGAATAAATTCTGCATTGAAGAGAGCTGGAGAAATCTGATTCTCAGAATATAGTTGAAACAAGGATTTGTATAGTACAAATCCTTGGTTGAAATAATTCTTAGACCTGTACCAGATTTCAATAGGACATCATTCATCTATTTGTGTTGAGCAGCACATATTCCAGAATAAGTTTAACAATCTGGAGGACATTATATTACTGGTACATGTACTGATGTAGTTCTATTGGAGCTTGTATTTTAAAAGCTGCTATTCGCGTTTCCTTATATATTTGACATTTCTGACAGGCATGAGGCATACTTTAAAATATAATTTCAAATTTCAAAGAATTTTAAAACTATTCAAGTACACACAAACTATAGAAATTAATTACATCTGATCATTTTTTCATGAGTAATGATTAAAGATTTTTAAAGGAGGGGGGAGGGGGGCCTAATTCATGATGATTGAATATATTATATTTTATATAAAAAAATTGGACGATTTTATACTAAAAATTATATATATATCGTGTAAACATGAGATTTTTTTGATTTTTTGGCAATCAAAGGGGGGACTGGGCATACACCCTCTACACCCCTGGATCTGAAACTGGAAATATCACTATATAGCTAATAATAACAAAATTAATTATAAAATGGACCCATTCCTCAATTATTTTTATGGGAGGTAATTCACATTAAAATTGTCACATTATTGGCAGCTTTGTTAACTGGAGACCATTGTTATCCTGTCCAATCATGGGTTTTTCACAAAACAAAAGTCTATTTGTATTCAAAGTAATGAAAAAGTTTCAGGCTGAAATTAACTTTGATAGTCTATTTGCCAATACCTGTAATTGACAGTGTAATTAGAGATCCATTTAGGAGGGACATACATTTTCATTGACAATGGAGAGCTAGTGGAAAGAGCAAATTTATCTTTGCATAATGTATGTTGCCTTTAAGTTCTTATAATCTCTTATTTACATTTTTTTTTTTTTGTTATCTAAAAACTTTTGATACCATTAGTTATTTTTCACTAAATATTGGTTAAACCTCTGATTTATCATATTAGCTGATCCTGCTTTGCATTTGGTTGAAGGCAATTTTGTCCTGTATAGAACCAGTGTACGATTGACAAAGGGTAGCAATTTGTGTTGAAAGTGTGTAATCAAATCAGTAATAGGCAAATGGACTATTGATTACTGTTAATTCTGAAATTATTGTGGCGTTTTTATTTTTGCGAAAATTGCAAGATATTCATTATTCATAGTCACTTGCTTAATTTATTAGTGGACCATAGGTTGACCTGTGGATGAACTTTTGGATGTTTGTGTCATTGGGTTGCTGTCTCATTGACTTATACCACACAAACAAGCAAATGATAAAGAAGACAGAAATTAACAAGTCCTGTCCTTCCTCAGTTAAGACAGGAAATCGAAATTTACAACAATTGAGCTTACCCTTTTGGATCACCTGAGATCAACGTTTTTTTGTGGGGGTTTATGTTGCTCAGTCTTTAGTTTTATATGTTGTGTTTTGCATACTGTTGTTTGTCTTTTAGCAGTCAGGGATATAACTCTATAGGGTTATTACAGAAAATAACTTGCATGTGTTATTACAGATACTTTTATGAGTTGTCTACTCTTTAATCCTTAAATTTACTAAATCTGTAATAGCATATGTTTGTTATTTGTAAAATAAATCATAAATATTTTTATTTTTAGTGGGCTCTAGGGAACTCTTGAAACTTTGCGCAGAAACTAAATGCATAGCCTTGATAACTAACTATAAATTTAGATTAATACATTTTTCATTAACCATGGTAAATCAATGAGACAAGGCTTTTAAGTGATTAACTTAGCTGTAATAACATGGCTTAGTTATTAAAGGCATGTAACTTATTAAATGAGACACTTGGGAATTACTGGGAAGCTTGCGCAGAACCTCATTACATGCTCTGATCATTACTTCTTACAATAAATTAAAATACATTGTAATTGAGCATGATCTATGTCTGAGCAAATGCTTTGAAGTGATGTAGAGAAGCTATAATAACACCCTTTAGTTATTACAGGCATATTTTTTCTGTAATAACATAGGTGTGATATGCATGATTGGCAAACTATGAACTGTTATATCTTTCTATAGTTAAGTATACATAAAGACACTAGCAATATCAATAGAACTTGTATACATTTTAACAAAACTAATGATGTAACATACATATGTTATCACAGTTCTTTGATATTTTTGTCCACAATAACAAGCATATGTTATTTTTCTCTAATAACCCTATAGAGTTATATCCTTGACTGTTTAGTCGTTTTTCACTTCTTGCCATGGCGTTGTAAGTTTTTCATCATCTTATGAGTTTGAATATCTCTTTGGTATCATCTACAGTCAGGAGTACTACTTATACAAGTGATTTCAGAATCACATCTTTAAGTGATTTTGGCTTTGAAAAATTGAAAATTTTCTCAAAAATAGACACAGACTTTTTAAAATCCCTAAAACAAGTAATTTGAGAAGTAAAGAAGTAAAAATGAAATCACTTCAATAAGTGTTTACAACATTTTCTTGATATTTATTGGTAAAAAGACAAGGATTTCATTTAAAAAACAACTATATATATATATATATATAAAAAGTCTAAATTGAAAACAACGTTCAAACCTATGATTGCGTTGGATAAAAACCGCAATTTTTATACGTGTGCATGTAATACAAATTTCTTGGTAGAGGGGTCTAAAAACAGCACAAACAACAATTTCTAAAAGACCAAAATAAGTGAAAAAGTCTATTTTAACAAAACGCATTTGACTAACAGGTCGAACAACTGATGTTCTTAAACTCTGCTGACTGCCATTGGCGATTGCCAAATAAGTTGATCACCAGATCTAACAAAATGGATCTTAATATTAATTTTATACCAAACAGAAAACAATAAACTTGTGGAAAAGATGGTAACCACAAAAATGAGGTGCAAAAATTTGTACACCATATCCGGATTTCAACAATAAATGTCTCTTCAGTGATGTTAGGGATCGAAACGGTATTTGGAATTTACCTCAATTTAGGATAGACTCTTGAATTTTAAAGAGTCGAAATAGGATGAACGGATCATATAAACCCGAAGGAAAATATAATACAAGCCCAAACGAAAAAATATAAAAAGTCTAAATTGAAAACAACGTTCAAACCTATGACATGTAGAAATTATCTTTTGCTTGATGAGCCTGTCAGTTTTTACAGTTTATTTAAAATATGCATAAACTGGAATAATTTGTAGATCAGGACATAACCTTGAAGTAGATCATTCTAACTGTAAAGAAGACCAATCAGGTTAATTAAAATTGTTGACCTTTGTCTCATTGTAAGAGTAGTTAATGAATAATTGATTACAGAAAAATTCACAAGGGTACTTTTAAAAGCTTTAGCACACTAACTTACTGCCCAAGCGCAGTGGTGAAATTAATACACAAGAGAAAGGGATAATTGATCTATGTAGGAAAATTACAGAATAAATTGGTCAAAATATGGAAAATTAATGAAATTAGCACTTGAAGATCAAAGGAAACACCAAAATCACTTAAATAGGTGATAACTTAATTTATCAGATCACTGAAATAGGCGATTATGAAATCACTTGTATAAGTAGTACCCCTGACTGATCTACCTTTATTTTATATTTAGAAATTGAAGATATATATAATTAAACATGAGGTCTCAAAACCCCGATCAAGAAATTGACCTATATGTATTGTTGTTTTACAGGAGTATGGAAAGTCATGATGGAAACCTGAAGGGTGAAAGTTCATCAGAGAAAAGATCAATACTACCTCCTGCAGAAGAAAGTCATGATGTCTGTCCAAGGCAATGGGCTTTGTCAAGGTTTCCAAAGAGATATATTGTGGCAATAATGGCATTTCTGGGCTTTTGTGAGTTAAATCTTGTAGTCAGATATGTTTTTAAGTACATTTTTTGTATATACATGTAGATAGGGTTGTTTCATAGTGAAGGTACTAACCCATATGTAATTTTGAAAAACATTAGGTTACCAACAAAAGGTTTCTGCTTACTTTTATTATTTATTAATTGCTACTTGTTTTAACTTTCAGCAACAAATATTTCATGCATATTCATTCATGTCATTAAAACATTCTATTTTGAAAAATATGCTTGTTTCAAGCATGATATCAAAAATACTCAGACTTTTAAGTGCTAAGGTGTGGATTACTCCAAGGCAAAAATTACTCTTTTTTCAGTATGTATATTTTTATCTGAACATATAATTTTCATAGTTTGTTGTACATGTAATTCATATATAATGAAAATAATCAAAACTATAACATGTATAAAGAAAGAAAAAATGCAGAAAATTTACTTATATTTTTTTTTTATTCTAGGCAACATATATTCATTAAGAGCTAATCTGAGTGTTGCAATTGTTGCCATGGTTGCCAAGAAAGGTGAGAATGTGACTGCAGAATACAAGGTAAATTTATCATGGATAATTGTCTAACTGGTATTAACACTACATCTGTACAGGGATCACCACAACCTATTTAAGGATGGCGGTATATGCAGACTGTATGCATCAAATTTCAAGTGTGTACCTAAATTCATATACTGTGGATTCATTTATTTCATGGATACCAATTTTATCGATTGAGGAAAAGTTGTACTTTTGTGGATATTTTGCATACAAGCCTATAGAAAAACTTTAATTGGTTCAGCTATACCAAAGGATTCCTTGAAAATTGGTATCCAACTAACAATATGAATCAAAAGCATAATGAAAAAATAATCTGCATAATGAAATTTTTAAAAATATAATCTAAACCTGTTGTTCCATGGATTTTTCTAGCATTCCACAGGGTACAGTATTCTGACCCATTCACAATGGCATATACCCTACATTTTTCACAATTTAGGGATCAAAATTCTCAAACGATCTCAAAATTTATTTTCATCTTTGTTATTCATGACAGCGATGTTCATTTTGTTCAACCGCTAGCTTTATGCTGAAAATCGCCAACAAGTAATGTGTAAACCCGAGTAAAATCGTATCTGACTGACAAAAACAACATTGAAAAACAATGGATGCCATAAACCGGAAATGAAGGCAATTACAATACCGGGTCAGATTCCAGGGGCAGATAAGGGTAATTCCGGGTTTGCCGATCAAATACAAATAATTCCAGGCAGGTGACAAAATACATGTTGATGATTAAATATAAACACTAGAATTGAAAACCAAAAGATATATGGAAAAAAAAGAAAAAAGCAGGAAATATTTTATACAGAAACTCAAAATTACTTTTAGTTCACAAATTTTCATGTCAAAATCCAATAAAATGTGACAGTAATTTTCCTAATCATTAATAAATGTTTGATATTACATGTAAAATTGATAATGGAAATGGGGAATGTGTCAAAGAGACAACAACCCGACCATAGAACAGACAACAGCAGAAGGTCACCAACAGGTCTTCAATGCAGCGAGCAATTCCCGCACCCGGAGGCGTCCTTCAGCTGGCCCCTAAACAAATATATATACTAGTTTAGTGATAATGAACGCCATACTAAACTCCAAATTGTACACAAGAAACTAAAATTAAAAATAATACAAGACTGACAAAGTCTAGAGGCTCCTGACTTGGGACAGGCGCAAAAATGCGCGGGGTTAAACATGTTTATGAGATCTCAACCCTCCCCCTATACCTCTAGCCAATGTAAAAAAGTAAACGCATAACAATACGCACATTAAAATTCAGTTCAAGAGAAGTCCGAGTCTGATGTCAGAAGATGTAACCAAAGAAAATAAACAAAATGACAATAATACATAAATAACAACAGACTACTAGCAGTTAACTGACATGCCAGCTCCAGACTTCAATTAAACTGATTGAAAGATTATGTCTTCATCATATGAATATCAGGCACAATCCTTCCCGTTAGGGGTTTAGTATCATACCATCATAACATATATGAGAAGAACATAACCCGTGTCATGCCAACAACTGGTTTTTAAATAAATGTGTTTAGTGCAGATGCAAAGACCCTATAAGTGAATCAATATTAACGCCAAAATATGCAATCTTTTATGACCTGACAACAGTATCGTAACTATATCCCTTCTTAATAAGTCTATTTAAAGGTTTTGTTAGCTTCAGAGGTGAATACTGACATTTTTATACGACCGCAAAAATTAAAAATTTTTTGGTCGTATATTGGTATGACGTTGGCGTCGTCGTCGTCGTCGTCGTCGTCGTCGTCCGGCGTCGTCCGAAGACACATTGGTTTTCGCACTCTAACTTTAGTTTAAGTGAATGGATCTCCATGAAATTTCACCATAAGGTTCAATACCACGAAAGGAAGGTTGGGATTGATTTTGGGGGTTATGGTACCAACAGTTAAGGAATTAGGGGCCAAAAAGGGGCCAAAAATAAGCATTTTTGTAACTTTCAGACAATAACTTGTGTGTAAGTGTATGGATCTCTCTGACATTGTACCACAAGGTTCCATATCACAAAGGGAAGGCTGTAATTGATTTTGGGGGTAATTGCCTAAAAAGTTTAGGAATTAGGGGCCAAAAAAGGGGCAAAAAACAAGCATTTTTCTAGTTTCATGACAATAACTTGTGTGTAAGTGTTTGGATATTTCTGAAATTGTACTACAATGTTCCATATCACAAAGGGAAAGCTGGAATTGAGTTTGGGGGTAATTGCCCGAAACGTTTAGGAATTGGGGGCCAAAAAGGGGCCAAAAATAAGCATTTTTCTAGTTTCCAGACAATAACTTGTGTTCAAGTGTATGGATCTCTCTGAAATTGTACTGCAAGGTACCATACCACAAAGGGAAGGCTGGGATTGAGTTTGGGGGTGATGAATCATAAGGGGGTTCAAAAAATTTGGGGGGGGGGATTTTTTTTTTTTTTTTTTTTCTTTTTTTCCTTTTTTTTTTCTTTTAAAATTTTCCATTTTAAGTTGGTTATTTCTGATTTATATTTAAAAGCAAATAATAGTGATATGGTAGGAGATACACACCAAACAGGATGTGTAAATTATTATATAATAAGTATTGTGCAATAGCAAGAAATTTTCAATTGCACAGTATTGCACAATAGCAAGAAATCTTCAATTGCACAGTATTGCGCAATAGCAAGAAATCTTCAATTGCACAGTATTGCGCAATAGCAAGAAATATCCAATAGCACAATATTGCGCAATAGCAAGAAATTGTCAATTGTACAGTATTGCGCAATAGCAAGAAATATTCAATTGCACAGTATTGTGCAAAAGAAGATACTTCGTATAAATTGCTTATTTCTTGATCAATTTCAATGGGGTTTTATTCTTGAATTCTTGGGGTTCTTTAATATGCTGAATCTAACCGTGTATTAAGTTTTTGGATTTTGGGCCCTGTTTTTAAATTGGTCCACATTGAGGTCCAAAGGGTCCAAAATTTAACTTTGTTTGATTTCATCAAAAATTGAATTATTGGGGTTCTTTGATATGCCGAATCTAACTATGTATTTAGATTTTTAATTTTGGGTCCCGTTTTTTAAATTGGTCTACATTAAGGTCCAAAGGGTCCAAAATTAAACTTAGTTTGATTTTAACAAAAATTGAATTCTTGGGGTTCTTTGATATGCTGAATCTAAACATGTGTTTAGATTTTTGATTATGGGCCCAGTTTTCAAGTTGGTCCAAGTTGGGTCCAAAATTAAACTTTGTTTGATTTCAACAAAAATTGAATATATGGGGTTCTTTGATATGCTGAATCTAACCATGTATTTAGATTTTAGATTTTTGGCCCAGTTTTCAAGTTGGTCCAAATTGGGGTCCAAAATTAAACTTTGTTTGATTTCAACAAAAATTGAATATATGGGGTTCTTTGATATGCTGAATCTTACCATGTATTTAGATTTTTTATTTGTGGGCCCGCTATCAAATTGGTTCATATTGAGGTCAAAAGGGTCCAAAATTAAACTTTGTTTGATTTCATCAAAAATTTAATTATTGGGGTTCTTTGATATGCCAAATCTAACCGTGTATTTAGATTTTTAATTTTGGGTCCTGTTTTTTAAATTGGTCTACATTAAGGTCCAAAGGGTCCAAAATTAAACTTAGTTTGATTTTAACAAAAATTGAATTTTTGGGGTTCTTTGATATGCTGAATCTAAACATGTGTTTAGATTTTTGATTATGGGACCAGTTTTCAAGTTTGTCCAAGTTAGGGTCCAAAATTAAACTTTGTTTGATTTCAACAAAAATTGAATATATGGGGTTCTTTGATATGCTGAATCTAACCATGTATTTTGATTTTGGACATTGGACCATAATAGGTAAATTAAAAAAATTGAAGTTCTTAGACCACATTCTTTCTGTGTCAGAAACCTATGCTGTGTCAAATATTTAATCACAATCCAAATTCAGAGCTGTATCAAGCTTGAATGTTGTGTCCATACTTGCCCCAACTGTTCAGGGTTCGACCTCTGCGGTCGTATCAAGCTGCGCCCAGCGAAGCATTTTATTGTGCTTTATAAAGAATATTTCCTTAAAAAATTGGATGTGAAATACCTGAACCTATAAGAAGTCTGCATGTTGAGCTATATTTACTAATGATGTCCTTATACCGATGATAAAATTTAGTAAATGTTTTGACTAGTTTGTGATATCGAAAACCCTGGTGTAATAATTTTTCAGTAATACATAAATTTCTCTTGTTAAAATCTAAAACATTGTTACATACACGAGCCAATCGTACAAGTTGAGATATATAAACACCGTAAGATGGTGACAAGGGAACGTCACCATCTAAAAATGGATAATTAACGATAGGAAATGAAAAATCATCTCTTTTATCATATATTTTAGTATTAAGCTTTCCGTTAATGATATAGATATCAAGATCGAGGAAAGGGCAGTGGTCATTGTTAGTATTAGATTTATTTAAAGTAAGTTCAACAGGATAAATTTCTTTAGTATACATACTGAAGTCGTCATTATTGAGAGCCAAAATATCATCCAAATATCTAAAAGTATTATTAAATTTGTGTATCAGATGTTGTTTCTATGGGTCTTTGCTGATTTTTGTCATAAATTGTAACTCATAGCAATACAAAAAAAGGTCCGCAATAAGTGGTGCACAGTTAGTCCCCATTGGAATTCCGATAACCTGACGATATACGGAATCTCCAAAGCGAACAAAAATGTTATCTAGTAAAAATTCAAGGGCATATATAGTATCAAAGCATGTCCAATTGACATAGTTTTTTTGTTTATTGCTACTAAAAAATGACCTTAAAGAGTTTGAACATATATATTCACATTTTTATAGTGTAAACAAATAACTTAAATTCCAAGAGGTAATTTCTTCTCAATTTTGAAGGGCCAGTAAAATTCTGGAAGTTTCTTACTTTATTTTCACAATAAAAGATAACTTTTAATGAACTAAACACACTAAAACTCAAATCTGGTATATTTGCTGTTTTCCCAATTTCATTGAAAAGCGTTTGAAAAAATTCCCAAAACTCGCCAGGGTCCTTTTTCCCAAAATACCCAGAAAAACCCCTGTGTTCCTTATTTATTTAACACTTAGGTTAGTTATTTGTCAAAATAGCAAGTTGCACTAGATCTCTTTGTATTATTTCTTTATTTAATTCATACATTAGTTGGTTAGAAAATCTTGGAATATAAGTACCTTGTGCTGGCATCAATTTTAATTTAATATTAATAGGACTCCTTGAAAATTGATTAATGGTATAGATATAAATCAAAAGTGTCTGTTTTAAAAAAGAAATGCATTCAAAAAGCATTTGTGTGATGAATTTTGAAGATTTTCTTATAATTCTTGACATAATTATTGGATACTGTTTGTAATTGTTAGTCAACAACTTTTTAGAGGTTCAGAAATTAAACTAAGAACCATGATGTTTTATGACAGTTAGGAAAATTGTTTTTAACCTGTGTCTGAAATTTGCCTTTTAATCCAGCAGCACAGACAAGAAATTTTATAGAAACCTGGCTTACCCGGGCCAATTTCAATATTTTTATCAGTCAATTTAACACTGTGTTATATATCTAGTTTAAAACAACTAATTTATTCTTAAACATTTTCATCAAAGATAGGCTGTCCTGACCTAAACATTCCAATCTAAGGCAAAAAAGAGGCGAAAGATACCAAGGGGACATTCTTAACTCATAATTCAAAGAAAAACTGGCAAGGCCATGAGAAAAAACGGATCTAAAAAACTTCAAACAAATTTAAAAATCTCTACATTGAAACTTAAAAAAATTGACCAAGCATGTAAAGTTAGTGGTTCTTATTGTGTACATTCTTAATTCAAACACTTTGCTTGACACAAATTGTAGGGTGATTTTCCAACATTTGATTGGACCACTAAACAAGAAGGACTGGTTTTATCATCATTCTTCTATGGTTATATATTTACACAGCTTCCAGGAGGTATGTAACATCCAGTTAGATTTCACTTTGAATATTTAATATTTCGAATACATGTATAAAAAAAAAATTGCTGTAGTAGTGAAAAAAAAACAACAGTTACTGTAAAATCAGAATTTTTTTGCAAGGTTTTTATTGATGGGAAATTGGGATGGGTTAGGCTTTTCAAAAAAACTCAAATTTTTAATTTCATTAGCATTATTTGTATGCAGCATTTCCTAAAATTACAATAATAAATCTCTCATTTGTTGTCATTGTTCAACAATTCCAATACTAAATGCATGCAAAAATTTCCGATTTTAATGTAGTTAAAAGAAGAGAATAAATGATAGTCCATTGTACAACAATGTAATTTGAAAGGATTTTTATCACAAATTTGTCTTTTTAGAATCTAAAGGACTTATGTTTTATAAAAATAAGGAGATGTGATATGATTGCCAGGAGATGTGATATGATTGCCAGGAGATGTGACCAGGAGATGTGATATGATTGCCAGGAGATGTGACCAGGAGATGTGATATGATTGCCAGGAGATGTGACCAGGAGATGTGATATGATTGCCAATGAGACAACTATCCACCAAAGTTCAAATAAAGTCGATGTAACCAATTGTATGGCCTTCAACATTGAGAAAAACCCATACAATATATTGTATGATTTTGAAATTATTACCCAGAATACCACAGATTCTGAAATGACACATTATGGGAGCAGAATTGCAATTACAGAGTATTTTCCTGATTTATGCCGCCAATAGTAGAATCAATTTCAAATGTCCCACAATATCTTTTATAATGCTGATTTGAATGGAGACAATATGTGTACTAGTAGTAAAATAAGTAACATATTCTGTGTCCTTGCTTTGCTCACAAGGATCTGACAACACTCCAAACTACCTTCTGTTCTGATAATTATTACATCAACCAATGAAATTTGATGTGTATATTATAATGACAAAACTGGAGAATCCCAAAAGGTCTTTAAAACAGAAAGTAGAACAGAGAGTTGACACATTCCTGTTCACATATTTCTAGTTTATCCTGCATAATGACAACCACAAAGACACTTGATTAACTTTAATAGTGCAGGGAGACAGGAGATCCCCTCTATCTGGTAAATGACGTCACCAAGGCGCCCATAATTTAGGAACCTCAGGTGAAGGACATAACTCAAAAGTGGTCTATTTTTTAGTGATTTGGGACCTGGAGTTTTTATCTTTCATTGATATGATTTGAAGAACTTTATACATGTATTGATAAAAGAGATGAAAGAAAATGACAAAAATTATGAGGAGATTTTTCTTTATTGTAAATAGGTTATTTAGCAAATCGTATTGGTGGAAAATACTTATTTGGTGGAGGAATCTTTATGACGGCACTTTTAACTGTTTTGACACCACTGTTTGCTAAAGGAGGAGTAGGTCTCATTGTTGCCATTCGAGTATTAGAAGGTTTGTGTGAGGTAAGTAGTCTTATGATTGGATTGTAATCTTACATGGGTTAAATCTGTGTCAGAAATTGAATATGTATCTAAACATTATACGGGATATTTTGGGACTTCTTTGCTGAAATCTGTGTTAGTAGTAAAGTATGCTGTTGTATTCTTCATAATTGAATGCAAAAAGAAAAATAGTATTTATAGTATTAATTTATGTCACAAAATGCCTACAAGCATTTGCAAAACAATAAGCAAATTAACACAACTTTAATTGCTGTTTTTCACCTCAGAGTCACAGTGAGGCATACAACATACATGTAATTTAATCATGTATTTTTAACTAGCTTTGCTCAAATCTATTCTTAGCTGTACGGTTGCCCATAATTGATTGCATCCACTTCATTTGAACTTTGGTTGATACTTGACTCATTGGCATTCATACCACATCTTCTTATTTTTATATCAACAGTAAAATTATATTAATTTCTATATATTTAATTTATTTAACTCTGGGTCAACAGTAAAAAAATGTTATTTTACATTTATTAATCATATTTTAAGACTGTTTTGCCTAAATCTAGGTAATAAATACAGAAGATAATAGCACAACTTAGGAAGATTTTCTTCTTTCCAAGTTTTTTAGTGTTTAAATTTTTTAAACCAGCAGCCGTTACAATCTCAGAATCCACCGGCAAATGTCCTTCATTATTTGCATTAAATTTAAAATATTGTGCAGCTTTGAAATAAATATTAAAGGTATGAATCATTTGTATGGAACTCTATGCAACTGACTGTCATACAAGTGAGTGGTTTAGCTAGATATAAAACCAGGTTTAATCCACCATTTTCTACATAAGGAAATGCCTGTACTAAGTCAGAAATATGACAGTTGTTTTCCATTTGTTTGATGCGTTTGAGCTTTCGATTCAGCCATTTGATAAAGGACTTTCAAATTTGAATTTTCTGGTGAGTTCAGTATTTTTATTATTGTACTTTCTACTAGATTACAATCAGACATGGGGTAATTGAAATATGTAATTGTAATTGACCGTAATTAATTACAAATTCTCAAGTAATTGAATGTAATGTGTAATTGAGCATTTTTTCAATTACAATTAATTGAAAGTAATGAATTACATAGCCAAAATTGACTGTAATTGACAATTACTTGTCAATTACAACTCAATTACATTTGAAATTTTGGATCAGAAAGATTCAATCTTGTGTTTTCTCAAAAAATGATGAAAAGCCATGACCTTAGTAAACATAGTTAGCTGACAAAGCAAACCCTACACAGTATACTTTCTGTAATAACACAACCATGGGAGATTCTTAATTTCATATTGAATGAACAACAAAAAAATTCGTAAGGGTTTGCTGTTAGTCGCAGGATCAACAAAAATGGGGAAATAATTATTAAAAATTTTCCTGTAGATACTATCTTTTGAATGTAAGAAGCTTCTGTTCAAGTTTGGTAAGAATCCAGGATGGTTTATGAATCTAATAAATGTTTTAAAAACTTTAACTGCAGACTGTATGTAATGTTAACTGGAAGAAAAACTAAGTCCATTTATAAGTAATATACTGAAAAACAGGAATTTTTTTTTTAACAAAATTTCCTAATAGATACTAGCTTTTGATCATAAACAAGCTTCTGTCCAAGTTTGGTACAAATCCAGGATAGTTTAAGAAAGTTATTAAAATTTTGAAAACTTTTACCACAGAGTGAATGTAATGTTAACTGGCAGTAAAACTAAGTCCATTCATGAGTAAAATACGGATAAACAGGATTTTTTTTTACAAAATTTACTTTTGAATACTATCTTATGATCATAAACAAGCTTCTGTCCAAGTATGGTACAAATCCAGGATAGTTTAAGAAAGTTATTAAAATTTCAAAAACTTTAACCACAGAGTGAATGTAATGTTAACTGGCAGAAAAACTAAGTCCATTTATGAGTAAAATACGGATAAACAGGATTTTTTTTTTTTTACAAAATTTACTTCTGGATACTATCTTATGATCATAAACAAGCTTCTGTCCAAGTTTGGTAGAAATCCAGGATAGTTTAAGAAAGTTATTAAAATTTGAAAAACTTTAACCACAGAGTGAATATTTGTGGACGCCGCCGCCGACGACACCGACATAATGTAGGATCGCTATGTCTCGCGGCTCGACAATAAAAAAGAAGAAAAAAAATATTGTAGAAATAGTCATTCAAAATCATTTATTCATTCATCTTATGTTTAAAAAAAAACATTAATAAGTCACCGTCTTATACCTTAATTAGCTTGTTACCTGCATGTATATTCAGATAGATATTGTTACACATTGATTTAACTTGACTTAATCAACTTTCAAGGACATAGTCAATCAGTAAATATAACCTCTGGCTTTTTGTTTTATTATAAACTATATAATGACTGTTTTTACAATAGTTATGTTAAACAGGTGTTTAGCCAATTAGAGATAGATAAATATACCCCTAGGTACTTGTAACTTCTGAATGGAATATACATACTTTGTAACACATATAAAGGTATTTAGATAAAAAAATTGAAATCAATTAATCATAATTAAAACTAAAGTATATTCTAAAAAAAGTCAGGTTTCTAAATCATTTCTTTAGGAAAAATTTATTTGATATTAAAGTTGTGATCAATATAAAAATAATTTGAAATAGTAAAATTAGGGCTCTCTTTCTGTATTTTTTTCAATGAAATACATTAAAATATAGAATTTCAATAGGTTGAACAGGTAATTAAAAAAAAATAATATTTTCAAAATATTGAATAAGGCTTTTTATAATTTTCATAGAAAACACAAGAATGTTTACATCCTGCATTCTGAAAAAAAGGAAATCAACCACTTTGACAGAATGCATGAAAAAAAGTGTGAAATATTCACCATCTGATCCAAAACAGTTAGAAATGACAAATGCTCTGATAATGCTCATAGCTGGGGTTCTTTTACCTATTTCTATTGAAGAAAGTGAAGATTTCAAAAACTTGAAAAAAAATTCCTTTCAAAAGTAATTGAAGTAATTAATTACATTTGCCAAGTAATTGGAAAGTAATTAATTACATTGGTAAAAAAGTCAAATGTAATGTGTAATTTAATTGAAGATTTTGTTATTGTAATTGAATGTTATTAATTACTTTCAAAAGTAATTGATCCCATGTCTGATTACAATAAATATATCTTTGTAGGGAGTTACATATCCATCTATCCTTGCTGTTTGGGCCAAGTGGGCTCCACCATTAGAAAGAACAAAGCTTGCAACTATAGCTTTTTCCGGTAAGATTATTTTATGTAAATCAACTATGATTCTTCATTTGTATAATGGTGTACTGTTTGTCAATTTTTTCTAAAGTTAGGTTTGCATTTGTCATAGCCGTGATAACATTGACTTTTTGATAAAGGAAACAAAATTTGTTCAATGTTGGGTTTTAAATTTAATTCGTCATGTTTAGTAAACCATCTTAATTACATAAATACCTATTCTATTCCAAAAACGTTAAATTTTATTGAATTATTCGTACAAGTGTAGTTAAAGTAGTGAAACATCCTTGTATTAGTAATTGTACATGTGTATTAAAACAAATGTCAATCAGTTTGCAATATTACACCAATGTATGGTACTGTTTAAATAGTTTTATAAATGGCAGTGACAGATTAAAATCAAGCAAGTCTCCATTTGGTCTCAGAGGTGGATTTAGGACCTACATTTATCGTTATAACATGGACTTTTTACCATGTCCCACTCCAAGCTTTGTCTAGTTTGGGGGCTGCGGTCCCCCTTTTTTCAAAATCAGGGTTCCGCATCTGAGTCTTGCAGATTGTTCCTGACTCTCTAAACTGTGTGTGGGCTGATACATATTTATATTATAAAATATTTTTTTTTTTTTTTTACCAGGTTCATACATAGGTACAGTGATCTCCATGTTATTGTCCGGATATATGCTGGAGTCTGGTCTTGGATGGCCGTCAATATTTTATTTGTTTGGTAAGTTTGTATTACAGGTTGATGCTACACTGTGGATATTTCTTGAGTAAAAATTAGAAGAAATAGGATGATATTTACAGTTCTAACATCACATTCTTCTTTCGATTGGAAACAAAGCCATGTTCTAATTAGAATAAAACATGGGCTGCACGTGATTGACGTCACAATTGAAATTGAAAAGTTAGGTGTATTTTAAACAATGCCGGAGATGAAAATGGACATTTGTGTTGGTGTGGCTCAATTGGAAATTAAATAAAATCATTATGAAAATAGTTTTACATGTATCTGTTTACATTTTATCATGAAATTTTCTATATTGTTTTGGCTTCATCAAATTCAAATGGCTGCCTTTCGATCATATATTATAGGTCAGCTTCAGAGGATAATAGTTCTAAATTTTCTATTAGAATCGAAATAATTATATCATGCCATGCTCTATGCTCATTATAACATGGGTAGGCATTATATTTGTAAACATTTTACACCTCGCTAACACCCTGTATAAAGATATTGACAAATATAATGCCTTCCCATTTTAAAATGAGCATAGAGCATGGCATGAAAGAATTATTTCTTAAGCACAAATCATGGGCCTTTTCAATGACAAAATTTTATAAAAAGCATAATGCTGTTATTCAGATATTTTTGCAGGTATTTATTATTGTTATTTTAAATTTAACAATGGACAAAATTACATAATTTTTTAGTTTTCAAGAAACACCAACTACAAATAATGCTTTTAAGATTAGAAAGAGACTTTTTATTTTTATGAACCCTTTAATCTCTATTTTCACAATGATAAAAACATTGAAGAAATATTTGAATTTTACAGTATTTTCTTTGAATGGTTTTTAAAAAACAACAAAGGACAAGATTCACTTTAGGCCAAAAATGGCCTTGAATTTCAACTTAATCATAAAATTTCAAAATGACCATAATTTGGTTCTTAGATGGATCTATTTCAAAAGATTTACTTCTTTATAAAACAGAAATCTCTTCATAAGATAGATATAAGAAGATGTGATATGAGTGCCAATGAGACAGCCTTCCATCCAAGAGTATATTTTTGGCTTCAAAATCAGCACATTTTGGAAATATTGTCAAAATACGATGATTTTGTGCATTTTTCTGACCTGAAAGCTTGAGGAAAGATTTGGCCGCAACCTAAGATCCAAAATGTTCTGTAACCAAGAGTTGCCAATGATGATATTGAATCCCTAGACATAAAATCTTTCTGTATCGTAGATGGCGTCCAAAGTGAATTATGGTAAAAACTGTTAAGAATTATTGAAAATTTGACCAATACTGACGTTACAACTCAAATAGTGCATTCTGAAAGAGTCAATACTTCATCATTTTTAATATGATGTGCCAAAATAAAGTTGTTTCGTAATAATAGTAATATCATAACTATTTCTATGTGAAATTTGTAGTATTATGGTCTGATTAAAAAAAAAAAAAAATCTTAGGGCCAATTTTAACCCTTCGTGAACTTACTCCTTTATAGTGAGAACATATGGTTTTTCTTATGAAATTCATGATTTTCATCAGCTTGTAATTAAATATAACAGTCATTCATTGGCTTGCTTCACTTAATGATATACTGTAAATTCAGAAATTATTGCGATGTTTTTATTATTGCTAAAAATGCGACAGGGTTATAATCACAATAATTTAAACTCGCATTTTGAAATTTCTTATATGAATTAAACATGTTAAACAGCATTTTTCTCAATATTGCAAAAATTAAAATCACATTTTAGTTTAAAATGACAAAATCGCAATAATAAATGCATGCAATAATTTCTGAATTTACAGTACTTTGTATTTGTTCTACATGAACAACAATACTAGGATTCTCACTAAGAATTTTTTGAGGCAAGTGCAGGGACTTACTATTGTTAGTAATGAAGAGCCCTAAAGTGAGAAGAAAAATTTGTATTTCTGTATTACTTATTATTTCAGTCTCCATGACAAATTACTGTAGAGCAAGGAAATGACCTTAACTTAGATTACTTTTAAACTTTTGATTTAAAATGATGATATGTTTGCTCATATTCAACATTTTTCAATCTTGATGAATTTTTGGACTCACCAGTTTTGAAAATGGTGAGGCCAGTCAGATTTTCATGAGTCCTTGACACATGGACTCGCCTTAGTTGGAACCCTGAATACTGAATGTGCTTTGTTTTGTATTCAAATCTAAACATCACTGTAACAACAAATGGCGGGCAGTGACATTTAACAAAATAGTTCACATCTGATTTAAATTGTTTATCTTCATCTTGGGACCTCAGTGGCTTTTCAGTAGTTGAACTACTGTATCACTAGCTTGTCAACACTGAGGTTGTGAGTTTTAATGCAGCATGTGGCTGGTGTGCTTGACTCCAAATTTAATTGACTAGAATTGTCAGTTTTTATCTCGCCTGTAACTTCTGATGCAAAAAGGGAGACATATTGATTTGTCTCTTATTTTGAGTAATAAGAATACTATATTAGGTATATATGTACCTTCCAAGATCCTCATGCTGTCTTTCACCTCAATCTATTCATGGATCAGTGAACAAGGTTAAATTTTCGTGGTCAATTCCATGTCTCAGATACTTCAAGCAATAGGTCTACTACCGTAAATTGGGAAATTTTGGCGTCGGGGTATTTTGGCGGTTTTCTCTCGAAAGGCATGTGTTTTATTTTGGTGTGTGTAATTTTGGTGCTTCGTCCAATTGATATGTTTAATTTTGGAACAACAGTAGTGAGCAAGCTTATTCATATTTGGCTTTATTTACCCATTTATTGACAAAATATCATTGAATTTCTCAAACGAGAATTAGACAAAGTTAACCTAATGAAGGAATCGGATACGGATGCGATTGCAAATAATTCCGTATATCGTGGTTCAAAGCTGAAAGAAGTTATGAAATAAAATCTTAAACATTAAAATCACTTTTAAAATAGATTATTTATTTTTAACAAATATCATATGAAATAAATTTTAATCATCTCTATTGCAGTACATGTTAATCTATTGACGATCAAGGATTTAAATTTTAATCCTTATGCCCCTGGCAGTACATGTTAATTATTTGAAGATAAAGGATTACAAGGAGTTTTGAAATTCTAGTTACCAATAATGGTGTCTAATCAGCAAAATAGATATAAGAAGATGTGGTATGAGTGCAAATGAGACAACTCTCCATCGAAGTCAAAATTTATAAAAGTAAACCATTATAGGTCACAGTACGGTAACACGGAGCCTTGGCTCACACCGAACAGTAAGCTATAAAGGGCCCCAAAAAATTACTAATGTAAAACCATTCAAACGGGAAAAGCAACGGTCTAATCTATATAAAAAAACCAGAAACGAGAAACACTTATGAAAAGCCTGGTATATTTATGGCATGTGTGAATAAAAATTAATGCTGTGTTTTCTTAACAATTTCAGAAAATTGACAATTAAGTAAAAATTATAAAGTGTTGTTGTCAAATTATACTAGGTATTTATTTGCAGATTTGGCTATGTATAGAATTGTAGGAAATATACGGAAGATATAATAACATCAAATATTTTCCCCAACAATTTACATTACGATATTGTCGTGCGGGTACACGATTTTGGTGTTTCAATTTTTAGTGTTTGTTTTATTTTCGTGTGTTTAATTTTGGCACCTTCATTAAAGGCACCAAATAAACCAAATAAAACTACAGCCAAAATAACCCAATTTACGGTATATTTGGTGTATGTAATGATTGTAAGGTTTACATGTCCAACTGGCAGTTGTCATCTTACCTTGACCTCATTTTCATGGTTCATTGGATTATGTTTAGTTTTTGTGGTTTGGTCTTTTTCTCAGATATTATAAGCAATAGGTCAATTATATTTGGTGTATGGAACAATTGTAGGGTGTACATGTCTGTCTGGCAGGGTTCATTTGACCTTGACCTCATTTTCATGGTTCATTGGTAATGTTAAGTTTATGTGATCCTTGTAGTAAAACCCTCATATTACAGACTAAAATCAATGATAAGTAAAGCAGGCGAGACATTTCAGCATGTTCTCTCTTGTCCTACCGAAGGTCATGGGACATTCTGGCTTCCTCCACCAATAAAAACTGACCGCTGCAAAATAGCACAATAGTGCTGAAAGTTAAACACCAATCATTCAATCAACCAATCTATCTTCATCGCTTCTGTTAAAAGATTTTTATGCCCCACTTAGGGGCATTATATTTTTCGGTCTGTGCTTCTGTTCGTTCATCTGTTCGTTTGTTCGTTCGTTCGTTCGTTCATCTGTCCTGCTTCAGGTTAAAGTTTTTAGTCAAGGTAGTTTTTGATGCAATTGAAGTCCAATCAACTTGAAACTTAGTACACATGTTCCCTTTGATATGATCTTTCTAATTTTAATGCCAAATTAGAGTTTTGACCCCAATTTCACGGTCCATTAAACATAGAAAATGATAATGCAAGTGGAGCATCCATGTACTATGGACACATTCTTGTTTGGTATTTGGAATCATTTGCTAGATAAATAAAACATGATTTTGAATTGCAGTACTTTGCATATTGAGCTAATGGTTCCCTTTCCTTAATGTTGAGGTTGATTTTGTTCAAATTAAGCAAAATTTAAAAAAGGCTCAAAGCGCATTGCAAAAATTTGACATTTAAAAAATTCAATGCATATGAAATTTTGTTCCAGGTGGTATTGCATTGCTGTGGTGTGTCTGCTGGGGATATTTTATAGCCGAGTCCCCATCCAGTCATTCCACTATTACCTCTGTTGAAGTGGAGTATATACAGGCTAATATTGGATACACAGAGGAACAGACCAAGGTATGTTAGTACACATAAACACACATATGATAACTATAATGTTTTATTGTAATCTCTTAAAGATATTGGCAATGTGAAAAAAACTAAGTAAAAAATCCTGCTGATAATGAACACCAGTTTGAACTTAACTATTGTATCATAATATTTTACAGTTACCTCAAATCAGGGGGTATCTTCTTCTAATGGACATTTTGAAACCTGATAAAACCCTTGCCGGACATTTTTTAACTCTTTTAACCTGTCACCTCTCTAACACGGTCACATACCCCTTTTTATGCCCCTGTAGTAGCGGAGGGGGCATTAAGTTTTACCCTTGTCCGTCTGTCCGTACGTCCCGAAATTGGTTTCCGTTCTCTAACTTTAGTTTGCCCCAATTAAATGTTATGAAACTTATGTATACACAATGCTTATTACCACAATACACAGATCATGTAAATTTTGGAGGCGTCACCTTTACCGTTCTAGAGTTATGCCCCTTTACAAATGGAAAAATTGCTGAATTTTTCGTTTATGTGCTCGAAACTTTAGTTTGCCTTGACCAAATGTTATGACACTAATACACAATGCTTAATACCACAAAACACTGATCAAGTTTGAATTTTGGTCGCGTCACATTTACCGTTGTAGAGAAAAATTGATATTTTTTCGTTTCTGTTCTCTAACTTAAATTTCCCCCAACCAAATGTTGTAAAACTTATACACAATGCTTATTACCACAAAACTCAGATCAAGTTAGAATTTTGGTGGCGTCACTTTTACTGTTTTAGAGTTATGCCTCTTTACAAATGGAAAAATTGCTTAATTTTTCGTTTTTGTTCGCTAACTTTAGCTTGCCTCAACCAAATGTTATGAAACGTATGTACACAATGCTTATTACCACAAAACACAGATCAATTTTGAATTTGGGAAGCGTCACTTATACCCTACTTGATTTATGTCCCTTTATCACGTTATATGCAAGCGGGGGCAACATCTGTGTCTCATGGACATATTCCCGATTTATTTAAGGAAATCTCTATTCCGTCTACTAAATAAACCATTTTGAACAGTCTAGAAAATCCCATGATGCCTGAAGAATCCTTTATCACATGATGCCTGAGGTACCCTTTATCACATGATGCCTGAAGTACCCTTTATTACATGAAGCCTGTGGTACCCTTTATCACATGATACCTGAGGTACCTTTTATCACATTATGCCTGAAGTACCCTTTATTACATGATGCCTGAGGTACCCTTTTGTCACATGATGCCTGAAGTACCCTTTATTACATGATGCCTGAGGTACCCTCTATCACATGATGCCTGAAGTACCCTTTATCACATGCTGTCTTTATCAAATGATGGGATATTTTTAATGTGTTAATAACAAGCATTTCTTTATGATAGATAACACTTAAAAAAATCAAATTTAATTGTATTTTGAATACAGTTTTTGTCTCACCTTGACAGAGTCAAAAAGCGAGACATAGTTATGCTGTTTCCGGCTTGGGCGTCGACGTCAACAATGTATTAGTTTAAGATTAGGTCTAGTTTATGGTGAACCACAAGTGATCAATGATATTTGGTATGCAGTTGTGTTAACATTGGCACATCTCATTTCCATGGAGACTATTTGGCCCTGCCCCCTCAGTCATGGTCTATTGACGTTGAAACTTTTGCTTAGTTTACATGTATTTGTTTGTGATTAGGTCAGTTTATGGGGAACCACTAGTGGTAGGTCAATGATATTTGATATGCAGTTGTATAAGCATTGGCATATTTCATTTCCATGGAGATTTTTTGACTCCGCCCCCTTAGTCATGGTCTATTGACTGAAAATTTTGCTTAGATTACATGTAAAAGTTTGTGATTAGGTCAGTTCAAGGGGAACCATAAGTGGTAGGCTAATGTTAATTGGTATTCAGTTGTATAAGTATTAGCTCATCTCATTTCCAAGGAGAATATTTTGCCCCGCCCCCTCAGTCATGGTCTATGGACTTTGAAAATTTTGCTTAATTTACATGTATTAGTTTCTTATTAGATCAGTTTAAGATGAAGTGCTAATGTTAAGTCAATGATATTTGGTATGCAAATTTATTGGCATTTGCAAGTATCGTTTCCATGAAGATTATATAGCCCCACCCCCTCATCATGGTTCATTGACTTTGAAATTTTTACATAGTTTAAAAGTTAAAGTTTGTGTTTAGGTTTGTTTAAAGGGAATGACTTATAATAAGTCAATGGTATTTGGTATGCAGTTGTATTAGCATTGGCACATCTCATTTCCATGGAGATTGTTTAGCCATGTACCTTCAGTCATGGCCCATTGACTTTGAAATTGTTACATAGTTTAAAAGTTAATGTTTGTGTTTAGGTTTGTTTAAAGGGAACGACTTATAATAAGTCAATTGTATTTGGTATGCAGTTGTATTAGCATTGGCACATCTCATTTCCATGGAGATTGTTTAGCCATATACCTTCAGTCATGGTTCATTGACTTTGAATATTTGCATAACTTACAAGCTAAAGTATTGCTATTTTAATTTCAAAATTGCATAATCAAAACTACAAAAAGGCGAGGCATATCTCTGTGATAACAGTTTATCTTGTTTAGCCACATACTTTTCTGACTAGATGTGTCTATCCTATGCAATCTTTCACCTGCTAAATAAGTCCTTATTACACAAATTCCTGTCATTACATATAAAGGTGAAACTCTATCAGTGAGAGGTTTCCAAAGACATACTTATCAATATATTTACTGGAAATCAGCATTCCTTCTCATTTATATCTTTACTTATAAAAGTTGTTGGTTTTACAGGATATCTTACCACCATGGACTGATATTTTCAAATCACCTGCTGTTTGGGCTATTGTAGCAGCACATTTTGCAGAAAACTGGGGCTTCTACACTTGGTTGACAGAACTTCCTTCATTTATGAGACATGGTTTGAACTTCAGAATAGATAAGGTAATTAAATAAAGCTTCTTTCAGCATAAAACTGATACATTTTTATCCACTTGATTACAATTTACATGTATTGCTTGGACCAGTTATACTTTTTATGGATAACATCCCTCTTGAAATTTCTTAAGCTATGTAAAATTTGAAATATTCACATGTCCATCAGAAGACAAAAAAATATACAACATCCAAAAATGTTCGTCAAATGACAACATTAATTATTATGTTACTAAAAAGCTTTCCTTGGAAATCCCCAGGATGTTTATCTGATTTTGTATCATCATGCTTAAAAATTAGTTCTCAATTTAGCTAATTTTAGCCTTTTCCTAGCGAATATTAAAAAGTTCTGATTCCTAACAGATAGTTTCTTCTTAGTGCAGAATTTACAAGATTCTCAATATTCTATATGCTCTATCTAATATTGTTTTCCAAGTGAAATTAGGTCACAGCTACCTACTTTTTATGTTATATTAGGCAGGGTTTGTGGCAGCATTTCCATACTTAGTGATGGGATTAGTTGTGATGTCATCTGGTTTTCTCGCTGACTATCTGAGAGGAAGAGCAGTAGTGTCTACAACAGCTATACGCAAACTATTTACTTGTGGGGGTAAGAGAAACTCTTTTCAGCTCTGTTGAAAGTAACCAACTTTTATTAATAAGTGTTTCTATGTAACCATTTTTTGATTACCAGAATACTGAGATTAATGAATACAATCTACACATATACATGAATTGATAGTATATAAGAAATTACAAAAGAGGGACCAAAGATACCAGAGGGACAGTCAAACTCATAGATCGAAAACAAACTGACAACGCCATGGCCAAAAATAAAAAGACAAACAGACAAATAATAGTACAGATGACACAACATAGAAAACTAAAGACTAAGCAACACGAACCCCACGAAAAACTGGGGGTGATCTCAGGTGCTCCGGAAGGGTAAGCAGATCCTGCTCCACATGTGGCACCTCAATTCATGAACATTGGTACACACAAAATTAAAAAAAACAACACAGGATTTGTTTCACCTATTCATTAAATAACAGGAATATTCTAATTCAAGAGTTGAGTATAAGTTATTATTTTTACGGTTCAGATTTAACAGATTTCACTATGTATTATTTTCAGCCTTTTTTTGTCAGTTGATATTCATGGTAGCAGCAGGATACATTATGACTCCAATAGTTGCCTGTGTTTGCCTGACGTTAGCAGTAGGATTGGGTGGATTTGCCTGGGCAGGATTCAGTGTAAATCACCTGGATATAGCACCACAGGTATATATTTTATAGGTTTATAAATAAATTTAAGCCAAACTTGTCATATATGTTCTTGGAAAGTTCAAACACAAGTGGTGTTACTTTGACACTGATTAAAAATTCAAAAAGGTCACCACCTGAAGTCAAAGTTAACTTGTAACTCTATGGGAAATTATTTTTGCATTTTGTTTGAAAAACAGATGAAGTTTTTAAAAATGTTCCTTAGAAGGTTTTTACCAAAAAAGTAAAATCACAAAAATACTGAACTCAGAGGAATATTCAAAAGGAAAGTCCCTAACCAAATGGCAAAATCAAAAGCTCAAACACATCAAACGAATGGATAACAACTGTCATATTCCTGACTTGGTACAGGCATTTTCTTATGTAGAAAATGGTGCATTGAACTTGGTTTTATAGCTAGCTAAACCTCTCACTTGTATGACCAAGTACATTTTGTCGTCATGAAAAGTCCATATGACTCCCAAGGGTCCAACATGGGGTCAGTTGATCTAAGTTTGAAAGATCTTCTTTTCAAGAACCAATTGAAACAAATTTGCGAATTTTTTGTGAAGGTCTTAAACAAATGTAATTCTTTTTTAAATTCAAAAGGCTTCAAGCACAGGCCAAATTTAACATTGAATAGCCATTGAAAACTACATTTTGATTTCTATTTAAAGAATACATCTCACTGGACCTTTCAGACTCCTAGGGGGCCTCTGGTTTACTTCATTAAATGGAAACTATGTTGCATGAATAGAACTGACATGAGAGCAAAGTGTAAGGACAACAAGTGTGAATAACAGTGTGGGAATATATTAATGATTGCCTTGGAGACAGGGTACCAAAAACATACAAAATGATAGTGAATTCGAACTTCCAAACATTTGTTTCATAGATTTTTAGAAAAAATATGCCAGGGTTCAGTTTTTATGAGAAGGAAAAATATATTGTATTAACACTAATGCATTTATTTCAGTATGCTAGTGTTACCATGGGAATATCTAATACATTTGCAACAATTCCAGGGATAATTAGTCCTTTACTAACTGGTGCTATAGTAACACAAAAGGTAAGATAGGATTTGGGGGGATTTTGTGTAACATGGTTACTGTCCTTGTTTTTGTTTTTTGAGTACAGCTAAAGAATGGTTTATTTTATTTATAATGAAACTTTTATGCACATTGTTTTTGATAAGCATCTCAGATATATAGAAATTAGATTGTATACATGTAATACCTAAATAAAATTAGGAGATGTGATAAGATCGCTAATGAGACAATTATCTACCCAAGTTCATTTGAAGTGGATGTAAGCAATTAAAGGCAATAGCACATACTTCAACAATGAGAAAAAACCAATACTGTATAGTCAGCCTTAAAGTATGTTTTATTCTCTGTATAAAAAAGTCTATGTGCCTGAATGTATCTTTGCCACTCTCATTTTTTACACTTATATATATTTAATGATGATATCTATTATACAGACAGATGTGGGACAATGGCAGATAGTTTTTTACATTGCTGCTGCAATATATCTCCTTGGTGCTGTATTTTATGGAATATTTGCTACAGGAAATAGACAAAAATGGGCAGAAGTTCCTACAGGATATCTGTCACAAATTGATGTTGATATTGATAAAGATCTGTGATATCTCAACAGGGGTCCAGTAGTACGTCGATATAGATATGGATCTTAGAAATCCCAACAGGGAACTAGTAGGATGTTTTAGAAATATCAAAGAAAACCAGCAAAGCAGTTCCATACTGACATTTTTGTTTGATGTTGTGGGTCAGTTGTATTTATGTTAAAAAAGTTGGCATTGATCTTTTAACAACTGAGAAAAGATAATCTAAGATTTTAATGGTAAAGTAATCTGACATATTAATCCTTCTGTATAAAATGGCCCATTATCCAAATATATGGAGGATGCGATGGATAAGGGGCATTCATGAAGGAAGCCAAAGGGTTTCGAGGGTCAAATAAGAATAATTTATTCCTACTGGCTGTAGACGACTCTATTTTACAGGTAAGATACAGGTAAAAATATATCAATCAGAAATGGATTCGTCCTATGCTCAGTAAGCTGTGTGCTATAAAGGAGTCATAAGAACTACATTTGATGCCGATGCATACAATCCTACTAGTGTAAATAAATCTCTCATTGTAGGTAGCTTTTTACTTATAATTTTCTTTGAAAAATTCAAGATTTTTTGTATCTTTTATTTTTATAGGGAAATCTTGAACTCAACAGAGTCAATAATGAAACAAAGAAAGGTTATCCTTTGTGTACCCTCATTAATAGTAAAACCTAGTGATCTCATCATTTGGAGTAAAAAATAAGTATTATTTTGACAAATTTTGCTTGAAAATTCAAGTAATAGAGAATCATCTATGTAACAATAAGAACTGATTCCGATGCTTCTGATATCAGAAAAAATAACTTTCATAACTTTGTAAATACTCTAGGAGCAGTGTTCAAGCCAAAAACTAAACAATAAAATTTGTATAGTTGACCCTTCCACAAAAAGAAATATTTTCTATCATCATCATAAACTTTAATTGAAAAATATTTTTAGTTTTATTCTTCAAATAAAATTGAGAATGGAAATGGGGAATGTGTCAAAGAGACAACAACCCGACCATAGAGCAGACAACAGCCGAAGGCCACCAATGGGTCTTCAATGCAGCGAGAAACCTTGTATCTTGTGAGCGTCATTGATATCTTTCACCCTCTTAGCGATATCGTCAATAAACAGAAAATTTCCTATTTCCTCAGATCTTGTGCATAACAAGTGAAATTTATTATCAATATGTGGCTTCAACAATAGCTTCCTACTACTGTAAATTCAGAAATTATTGCGTGCATTTATTATTGCGATTTTGTCATTTTAGACTAAAATGCGATTTTAATTTTTGCGATATTGAGAAAATCCTGTTTAATTCATATAAAAAAATTCAAAATACGAGTTTAAATTATTGCGATTATAACCCTGTCGCATTTTTCGCAATAATAAAAACATCGCAATAATTTCTGAATTTACAGTATATGACAGCTCAAAAAACACACTACAAAGAATTGTAAGAGCATCTGATGTCAACCATCTTAGACTTTTACATCAACATCGTTTTTCCTTATCATTTTGGCCATATGTATAAAGGGGATTATACCTAGCGCTAAAGCCCTTTGCATACCCTGAAATAAAATATCTTTCGGCATGATATTTTTGTTTAAGAACAACCATATTTTAGTATTTACCCTAGGTGGTGCAATTGTACTGCAATCAGCGGTACTTTATTTTTCTTTACAATTATAGTGACATTGGCCCTCTTTTTGGCAACTGCACTTACTAGTTTAGCTACATTATAGGCACCATCTTTCCCAAATTCATCTTCTTCATCAAAAATCTTTGGCAGTTGTTGTTCTCATCAGGATGGTCATCACTGTCACAGTTTGCAAACAATCAAAACCATCAAATTTACTATTCACTTCTGGTTCATTGCAGTGCACTCACTTGGTCAGAACTTGCATTAGAATGATTAATGTTTGCCCTATTGTCTAAAAAGTCTTCAAGTATACTGTAAAAATTCATAAATTCTGTTTCCCTAACCTCTGTAGTTGTGAGTCTTTTACTAGCTTTACTAGTCGACTACAATGCATCACCACCAGAGTTATCTCTACTTCTTTATACAGTTTTTGCAGTTTTTACCAGGACCCTTCCGGGGACAGCTCGACTTTTTAGGGTCATTAGTTTGTTGTTTATCAACACTCTTCATACCTGTGGATACACACTGTGCAGAAAACACAGAAAACTTTCTTCTATTGAAGCGAATAATTTCATAGTGTCTGCTTCCTTGTAACTGTTAATGCTGAGTCAGTAGATAAGTTGTAAGTTTGAGAAGTGTGGTCTTACAGCCTTAAAATAAAAAGAGATGGATTCAGGTAAATCATTAGGTTTTATAGTACACTGTGCACAGTACGAATCCATTTCTGATTGGTATATTTTTACCTGTATTTTACCTGTTAAAAAGGTTGTCTACTGCCAGTAGGAATAAAACATTCATACTCAACCTGAGAAGCCTGGCGGCTTCTGTAATTAAAATGCAGCCAAAAAATCTTCCACATTTATTTTTTCTTTCCATCTTTTCCCAAGGAATAAAGGAAGTAATAAAACAAATGTGTTGAAGGGGAAAAGATCATAAATGATGTCAAATTATTATTGTCTTTAGGGTACCAGATTTTGCAGATTTTGTGGTTCCTCCCTATAATAAATTTTAGTTCATGTATCAAATAACAATATATATTTTCTATTGAGGAAACATATTTGTAAACCACAAACTTAAACCCTATAAAATACAAAATTTTATGCTTACAAAGAAACCAAATAGTAACAGCATTAAATTGTTCCTTCTTGTCTTTTTTTTAATAATACTGTACAGTGAAATTGAAATTTAATGTCAGATCGTTATACAGGAAATAAATTCTGGGAAGGTCTAAATACACAAAATGAACATAGAATATTTAAAAGTTAAAATTCTCCTTCTATTTTAATAGAAGTTTCAATTAATAAAAACACACAATTTTCATTAAATTCAAGAGTGAATGTTAATGGAAATGAAAGAATTTGAATTTCTTGTTTAATCCCATATTAAGGTAGTTCAGGGGTATAGAAAAAAAATGACAGAATTTTCTTATACTTTGCCAAAATGAAGATTTTACTATGCTTTTTTCAAAAAAATGATAAAAAGTATGGGTCACCGTGCTATTTTTCAAGGTACGAGTCGTTCAAAATTGCCAAAATTTGCTTAGATTGTTCATGAAAAAACACATTTTTGTGCATAAAAAGAAATCTATGAGACAGAATTTTGAAATAAAATATGAGAAGATAGGTTTAATAATATATTTTAAGAAAATAAAAAGAAAAAATGGTGTCACCGAACTTGTTTTCTTGCTACAAGTAAAAAATGAAAATTTCCCTATATGTCCAGTATAAATTTTGTACTAAAAGAGTTATCTACCCTTAAATGGGTTATTTGAAAAATTAATTCTAAAAGCACAAATATTTGGTATTTGTTAAAACATTTTTGATAATGCAATGAATAACTAAGTTTTCTTTATATAAATAAACAGTGTAACCAATAAATTGCAAATCTGTCTCCAAATTTGCAAGTTTGGGCAAAGAACTAGGCCGATTATTTACTGTGATTGTACAATTCAAGTTGGCGGTATACCCCTGAACTACCTTAATATGAAAAGGTTTGGAATTTATTACATATAACAATTTGGATGGCCATATTTTTTGCCAAAATTTAAAACATTCCGGTTTTCTTTTTTTTTAGACTCGTGCTTCCCTCTTCATTTTCCGATTTTTGTAAGAGAACAGTATTATAGATAAAATGTATAAATTTTTGTTGAATGTACAAGTTGTGATAGGCTAATTTTGTAATTGATTAGAGTATTTATTTTCTATTTCATGTTTCATAACTTTTTTTTTTATATTTTTTTTTCTATTTCATTGATTATAATTTGTTTTCATTGATTATATTTTTTTTTTTCATTTATCATAATATTTATTTTGTATTTCATTGGTTAGAATGTTAATTATTTATTTCACTGATAAGAATATTTATTTTTTTATTTTATTACTAACATTTTTCAAAAAGTTCACAATCAAATTAAAGTAAATATTTATATCTACCCCTGTCAGCTGCCCTGGACTGCTGAGGGTAGACATATTCATGGTGATTTGAAATAAAAGATGGGGTTCATGTTGAAATAAAAAGCAGTTCAGATTAAACATTTTTACATTTAGATTTAACATTTTCATTTACACAAGTTGTTAACTTTACATGATCCTTTATTGATGAAATTTTTGAAAGTGGTTTTGTTTCAATAATGTTCCCACAAAGATAAAGTCGCAATAGTAAAATTGATCTGATAGGAAGATCAAAATCAGCAAATCAATGCTTATTGTTTTTAGGGTACCAGATTTTGCAGATTTTGTGGTTCTTTCCTATAAGGAATTTTAGTTCATGTATCAAATAAGGATATATATTTTCTATTGAGGAAACATATTTGTAAACCACAAACTAAAACCTTATAAACATGATAAAACTACAAAATTTTATGCCAACAAAGAAAAATCAAATAATTCAAGTAAACATACATATTCCATAAATAAATACATATTCCATAAATAAGTTTTGCAAATTTTATCTCAACAATGTTCAAAATACAGAATAGGTTTTCAACAGTTAATGTCAAATATTTAATTGTTTTTGTATTTAAAATGAAATTGTAACAGTTTTATAGTCACAAGCTGACAATGTTGATAATCTTTTCAGTTTAATGAAAATTACATGTACTTACTACTGAATTGTAAGATGTTAAAATAAATACACATTTGATGCATAACAACTAGACTAGGTTGTAGACAGGGGAACATAAAGTGTAAGGCAATTTTTAGTTATAGCAGGTACATTTCAGGTTTATTGCAATTTCTAGAAATGTTAGCAGCAAGTTTTAGTATGTTATTTATTCTTCCCTGGTTTTCAAATGTGAAGGTTTGAGCATTCCTTGATGAAGGTAAATCCAACAAACATTCTGAGAGTATTGCATTGCAATAAATAGTCCCCTAGTTAAAAATTAATTGTACTGGAACAAAATGCTAACTTGATCTATAACTTGTCATAGTGTAAACTATATAACAAATATCAAATCAATGTCATTAAGCATGACGAAAAAAAGTGTGGAAAACTGATTATTTAAGTGAATAAGGACCATAACTCTGCACAGATTCATCAGACCGAAAAACAATTCGAACTTGGTCTGTAACTTGTCATGATAAAACTATATACCAATTGTTAACACATGTTAGTTACACCAGTTTATTTATTTAAGAGACTATCAGCATCTTTAAAACAAGAGTTCTTTACAAAGTCACTAGAGTTATCTTTCTTGATACATTAAGTTGATCATCAACATTAATTAAAATGTCTTCTTTTGTAACATGAATCAGTCTTTAAGATAGATCATATTTCTCTAGCTGAATGAACATGACAAAACAACAAAATATTTTTTTTTGAAGTGACCGTCATTGGATTAGACTATCCTCAGGTCACGGGGATTATTCTGCCCCATTTCCGAAAACAAAGAAGTAAAAAATATTTTTGAAGTGATCGTCATTGGATTAGACTGTCCTCAGATCACGGGGATTATTCTGCCCCTTTTCCAAAAACAAAGAATTAAAAATGCAAAAGTAAAATTGTATTATTGTTTCACACAAATTCTTCTGGCATTTGTCCTTTCTTCAGCACATTTAAAAGTTCAATTCCAGAAGCTCCTCTTTTGGTCATAGAATTTGCAAGCTGAACTTTTCCTGGACAACATTTTACCTCAACATAATTGTTTTGAATCATTTCACATATAGCTGCAATGTCTATTCTCAGCCTTTTATCTTCTACCAATTTGGTGGATTTTAGTGCCTCAGTGACACTTTTGTTGTCCATGAAAGCTGTAATAGGTATCCGTTCCCCAACTCCATAAATGTCTTCAATTATTTTCCGAAAATATAATGCAGTTTCCAAACCATCTTGCAAACTTAAAGCTTCCGCTGCTATAGTAGACCGAACTACTCTTTTTATCTTATTGGCTTGCCATGAAATGCGACAACATTTTCCAATTCGATCTTTTATTCAAACAATATGAGCTCCTGTACTTCCTTTACCATCATTAATATTTCCTAAAGCTGCATCACTAAAAACAAAAATTTCCAGGTCTTCTGTCACATTTCCTTTTAATGATGGGAAAAACTGAATAGGCCTTATGTCCATTAACTTTCCAATGTTTTTAATAGAACGTAGAAGATCGCATACTAATACACTTTTCAGTTTAGTACTTAAATCAACAAGTTCAACGGCAAAATCTGGTCTTGATCCTTGAACTGCCCAGTTCAATTGCCCTACCATTCTGCAATAATCTGTTTGCTCTTCTTGGGTAAGTTGTTTTAATTTCTGAAACGCACGCTGTGGCTCTATGTGTTGGTGAT